GCAGGTCCGGTCCGAGTCTATCACTGATCAAGTCAGGTTATTCATTGATCAAACTTATTTTAGAGGTGATAAGAATTCAAATAAGATTGAATTCGATTCAAATTTTTTAAATAATACTTATAATTATGAATTTTTAAAATTCGATCCAAACTAACCGAACTTTTACATGATTTGATTCATTCAAATTGAATTCTATCAGTTTAATTTAATTTAGTTTTAAATTTTAAATTTTTTATATTATTTTAATATAATTTTTAATACATTTAAATAGATTTAAATTAAAATAATTATTTTTATTTTATAAAAATTAAAAAACATATAATCTAATAAAATATATAATTCGATTTGGTTTGATTTTTTTAATTTTTTACTTTATGATACAAAATTTTATTTAAATATAATATATATTTAATATTTAAATTTAATCTGAACCAAATAAAAAAATTGATCCAAACTAAATTGATTATTACGATTTCAAATTAATTTTAATTTTTTTATTTTTTCTCATCCCTACTTAGATTATTCATATTTTTAACTTCTGAAATCATATAAATATGATTAAATTGTATAAAATTAAAATGTTAAAGTTAAATGATTTAAATGTATTTTGTTAATAATACGAAATTATATTATGTTAAAACTAAAATTAATTTTATTGTCTTTAGCTTCTTGGCCTAGTGGCCAAGCAAGCCTTAAAGAAGACATCAAAGGTTGGGGTTTGACCCCAACCCCCCTTCCCCTCTATGTAGGATTCTGCCTCCTGAAACAAAAAAAAAATTTAATTTTATTCATGATAAAACTTTATTAATAATTTTTTGTTAAATTATTTATTTTATTTTTTAATTTTAAATTATAACATTTGATTTTAAGTGTTAATTTTATGCATAACAAAAAAATATATTTTTATATTATTTATGTTATAACTACCTCTAAATTATATTTTATTTAAAATTGATCATTAATTTTTGTATTTATTATTTATTAATAAATTATAATTTAATAATTTTGATACATTAAATTAATTAATTAATTAATTAATCATATTTTGTATTTAAGTATAAGAAGGGCCAAAAAATGTAATTCTCATATTATTGGAAACTAATTTTATTTTTACTATAATATATTAATTTGGTCACTAATTTGGTTATGGTCAGTATTGCATAATAGAATATGGGGGGGAATAGGTTTTTAATGATATATTTTTTTTCATGTTTAGCAACATTTATAAATATTGCTATATGATTTATGGCATTTGCCAAAACACTATTAAGAACATCAATTATATCTCCATTACGGAAAATAACGGTGTTTTAGGAAGAAATCGTTAATTTAGTGACATTTATGTTTAAAAATATTGCTAAATTTTAATGGCATTTATGTGTAAGAATACTACTAAATTTCTCATTTAGTTGCATTTGTACGCCAAAATACCGTTAAATTTAATGATGTTTTTTTATACAAATACTGCTAAATTTAACAACATTTTTCAATACAAATACCACTAAATTAGAAGATTTACTTTTTTATTTATTTCTTTCAATATTTATTAATATAATTAAATAAAAATAAATAAATATTTTTAAATTCATAAACTGAATATTATAAATATTTAAATATCTAAAATACATAATTTATTTTAGTATGCATGTAACACAAAATTCAATACAATAACATTCAAATTGTTTTAGTAAATTAACGAAAAATTTAAAATGTATGAAATTGATGAGCATTTAGATTTGAAGCACTACTATTTGATGAAAGATACTTTGTTGGTTATTGGATATCTAGGTTTGCTAGAAAATTTGGATATTGTTTAGTGCTTAAAGCCGAATTGTATGCATTTCAGATGAGACTAAAGTTAGTTTGGGAGAAAGGTTTTAAGTGAGTTTTTTTTTTTTTTTTTTAAGCAAAATATATGAGTTTATTCATAATAATGTGACTATTATAGCCAGGTTCTAAAATCGCATGATCAATATACTCCCATTTTAGCAAGAGAATTCGCGAAGAGATTAACTTCTCTAAAAACATGGACAAAAATAATATTCTTAATCCTAACAAAATGGTTAAACAACCTATTCAATAAATTATTATACTTTCAGGGACATTCACTTATTTTGTTGAGCCAAGCTGTGATGACTTTGGAGTTACTTTCTACAATGATATTTGAAAGCTGGGCTATGTTGGCATTAACCACAATAGTGGGAGCTTCTAATACTGCCAGTAGCTCTGTCAAATTCGAGTCCTTGACGCTAACGTTCTTGGAGAACATTAATATTACTTTCCCTTTCCAAAAGATAACATTAGTACTTAGGGTTAGCACGGGTCGGGTTCGGGGCGGGTTTTGCTCGCCTCGAACCCGACCCGACTTAATGCTTAAAAAATTCGAACCCGACCTTATTCGAAATTTTTTTTATTTTTTCATATCAAAACCCGAACCCGACCCGATCCTATCCGAAATTAATAAAATATTATTTTTTAAATATAAATATTTAAAAATATCATTATATAAATATATAATTAAAAAATTAATTAAAAAAAATTTATTTTTATATATATCGGGTCGGGTAGGGTCGGGTTTGCCTAAAACCCGACCCCGACCCGACCCCCGATTTTCAAAAAAAAAAATCGACTCTAAAAAATCGAATCGGACCGGAACCCATCGGGTACGAAATTTTTTGCCTTCCCTATTAGTACTAGGCGAGTGGTTATTGAATCAAATTCTTTATTGGTGGTTAAAAAGACAATAGGCTTTATTCATGCAAAAGATCCTCTTTACTAAATTATTCATCAGTGTCAACAGTTTATCAGTAGAGGTTGGGAGTGTAGAGTCCAACATATCTTCAGAGAGGCAAATTTTTGTGTAACTAGGCTTTTAGTTAAGGTAATAATCATTAGTGTTAGATGATCCTCTAGTAAATTTGGTTCGTTTAGTGCATGAAGACCTATTAGGGATAACAAGACCTAAAGCCTTAAGATTGTAAGTGATTCTATCACTCTTTTTGTCAAAATAATAATAATAATAAAGGAGAGCACATGTGTATTGATGGATATGCAAATGACATGTTGGATTGGATAATAAGGCCTACTTAGGTAGTTTAGAATGTTGGATGAGTTTTAATTTTTTTAATGATTTTAAAGATTCATTTTTTTCATATCGTTTTAATACATTATTCAATATTTTATTTTTAAATTTTTTTTATCAATTAAATTAATCTCTTATGAATTATGTACGTTTCCATTTGATTATTGACATTGCCTAATGCAAGTTAATTATACGTTTGATTAAGTCATGAACTTAATTAAAATAATAATTATAAAATGAATGCGGCCACAACTTAATTTATTATGGACATTTGTCAAAATATAGAAAGTAAAAATTATGATTAATGTTATAAATAATTTTTAAATTATAATAAAATATTTAATACGATACTTAAATTTTAAAACTTTTAATATAATACTTAAGTAATGATTTTATTAACTAATTGATATTTGAAGAGTTATTTGCTTACAGCGTTATATCATTTGAAGCTAGTTTTATAAATGAATATTAGACGAATTAATAGATTTATAATTTTAATATTATATTAAATATTTTTAAAATTTAAATATCTTATTGTTTATATTTGTAATAAAAATTTTGGATTAGTCATATTTGTAATCAGAATTTTGAAAAATATTTTATTTTATTAACATAATATAATTCCAATCACTTATTCGTATTTGTAATTCCAAAAAGTATTTTACTTGAACAATGTTTCCTAACCTTTCTACCTACTTCACCTTAATGCTTACTATAAGATTTAAAGGGCGGCTTTTTTTTTTTTAAAAAAAAAAAGGGGAACTGATGATTGGTCCTTTAGTAATTGACGAATTGAAACTATTTTATTAACTATATTGTAGACTTTATATTCATATATAAATATATAAATATATTATCAGTTAAAGAAAACATTATGTTATAAGTTCTTTTGAACCCATAACCTCTAAGTAATAATTTCATTAACATATTAATTGATCTAAGAAATGGTTGGTAGTTATTAATCAATTATTCCAATCAATAATTGATATATTTTATTTTAATATTTTAAAAGTTAAATTTGTGCATCAAAATATTTGATTTAATAATTTATATATGATTTTATTTCAAATTTTTATTTTATTCTTAAACTTATTTACTTAATTAAAAAAAATTATGTATATAAACTTTTTTAAATTGTAATCTAACTCTATTATTATGTCAGTTGATTCATAAATCAGGCTGCTAATTTGTATATAATTTTTTTTTATCTTTTACCAAAAAAGAGGATGTTGAATCTCTTTTTTCAAATTAAAAAAAAATTAAATTCGATTTCTCTTATCATAAATATAAAAAATGATTATTTATTAATTAATTAAATTTGCAAATTAATGAGGCCGGCAGTGGACTAAACCGAAAGAGAACACGAGAATTGGCAGTTGTGAAAGCACGTCTTTTGGATGAGCATGGCCACTTAACTTTAACTTACAAAATTGTGGCGTGGAAAGTCGAGTGAGTCATAAGACACTCACTTCCATATAAACTCGCTCTACCTTTTTCTTTCCAAAAATCATCACCAAAACAAACAAACTCGCTTCACCTTTTCTTTCCTTCTTCCCCGCCCCCAGTCTTTCGGTTGCTGTTTGACACTCCAAAGCCCTTTCATAGGCCCATAGAAAAAATATATATTTATATGTTATCCAAGATAGATATTGAAGACTTCCATGTGTGAAATCCTACTCATTTTTTTTCATTTTCTCTTTAACTTTTTATAGTGACCCCAAATAAAGCAAGAACCCGTCAAAGGAACAAAAAAAGCGAGAGAATTAGAGACCCCAGAAGATAAGAAATTCCTACCAGAACCCGAAAATTAAGCTCACCTGGAAAGCCTGGCCGTTCTTCTTGGCAGATATTATAGCCTCCGTCAAGCCTTGAGCTGTTTACCGTGTTTTACCAGGGTACGGTCCTTCAAATCAGAACAATGAAATCCCTGGCTCACGAGCCTCCACCTTTCTCCTTGTCCTGTTTGATTGTTGGGGTTCTTGTAAATAAGATCCTTTAACATGGAATTGGAAACTAAACCAGCCATCGTTTCCATATCTGTTTCTTTTCCTTTGTTCAGGATCGTTTAGAGCACCCTGCTTATCAACAAAAAGGGTAAAACATTTCAAAAAAAGAGGTTTATTTCCTGTTTTCGAAGATTCAGATTGTTCTGTTCCTTCAAGCGGGAAAAAAAACACCAGTTTAGTCAGTCATTGTTTTTCAATCCAGTGTTGAGATTCAAGAATCATAAGGTTGCAACCGATAAAGCTGCTTCTTCATTGTTTATCATTATTTGAACCAACCCTTTTAAATTTCAAACCGTTTCATTTCGAAACAATTCCATCTTATTATTATTGTTATTATTAAATTATGTCTGGCCAGATAATCTTAAGGACCACACCCTCCGTCCAGCGGCGGAAACCGCTGCTGCGAAGCCGTTTCCCCTCTTCCTCCAGCGTCGATGACTTCCGTAGCAGCACAAGGAGCAGCTCCAGGAACAGTGCCAAGTTCGGGGAGTTTTGTGGGGGGACGACAGCTGAGTGTGCGGCTATTTGCTGCTGTTGCCCTTGTGGGATAGCGAACCTTCTGGTTTTAGCAATTTTCAAGGTTCCCGCAGGGCTATGCCGCCGTGCTCTCCACCATAAACGGCGGCGTAATTTGCAGAAAAAAGGGTTGCTTCAGCGGGGTCATTGTGAATGTCATGATACCGACTTGCATATTCACCCTGTGGTTTGTCTGGAGGATTTTTTCCTAGATAAGGAGACTTCTGAAGAAGATGAGAAAGCTGTGTTGGAACTGGAAAAAGAGATGTGGCAAAGGTTTTATGGCACTGGATTTTGGAGAAGTCCTTCTCAGAGAGAAGGAGAGTCACCCAGAATTAAACAACTGTAAAAAAAAAAAAAAAAATCAATGTTTGCTCCTTGTTACGTTTAATCTGGGTGTATATACATCATTTTTAATCAAATATTGTACTCCATTTTTTGGGTTTTAAATGGAGAATGTTGTGGTGGTGAGATTTTCTGATTTCTGGGCATTTAAAAATGGCAAGATTTTTATGTCATGAACCTGGAAATCTTCATTAATTGATGCCTTTATATAACTGTGTTAATGTAAAGTGGATGAAATGTATGCAAATGAGATTGGCATTGTCGCCTTCAATCTTCATGTTGGTTGTTTTTGATACTTTATCAATAAAAGATATTGATAAAGCCCGTTGAGATCAGCACATAATTATACCCTAATTTATAAAGTAAGTAATCACTCTCATAGGTTGAAATTTGAATAAATTTAAGCTAACATATAGTACTTATTATAATAACAGGTTTATAAAATATGACATGAGATGAGAATATTATATAATAGTTCACAATATCTATAGCAATATTTGATTTTATAGTTGTATAAGTGATCTTTTGACTTTAGATTACTTATGATTTTATACGACAAATGTTATACTTTGTTTTTGCTTTAGTCATGATTCTAATCATGAATGCTTTAATCAAATATTGTTGGGTATAACATGAAGTATATAAAGACGTAATAAGTAATTAAAATTGAATTCATCACTTTGTGTAATCAAGTGAATACCTCACTTAATCTTGATTAAATTAACTAAAAATATCTTTAGTCAATAAAGTTTTAAAATAGTTCTAAGGTTCATTTAAAATAGTTAATGTCTAGAGCAGGACTTAACATAGATTAATAATATTGAGTAGACACTAATTATTGTTCAATATTGAACTAAGATATTATTTGATGAAAAAATATTAATTATACTGTAAGACCTTACATAGATAGATTGTTAAACCACATTGACATTCTTTAATAATTAGGAGTTATGACAATATGACTAGTATTTATTATGATTTATAAATATAAGATTAATTAATTACAAAGTTAATGATGAAGACAGAATAGTTTTGATTCATCTAATTCAAACCAAGGATTATAATGTTTATATTATTGTCAATATATTAAGAAACCTAGTATGTTACACACAATAAAACATTGTGTGAAATATTAAAATTTAAACAAATTAAATTGTCCAATACCCCTACATTAAAGAAATTGGCTGCATGGCAATTCTATTTTGGAATAGAAGTTATCTCATGCATGCCCTAATAGTTTAAAGAGAGGCCAAACTCTACCCCTATATAAATAACATCAAGCCGCTCTCTCTCTTGTAACATTCTAAGAGAATTAGATATCTTATGTGTTAAGAACAATTAAAAACAAATAGTAGAGAGCAATAGACTAATCTCACTTATTAGAAATTTTGATTTTGAATTCTTTCTATCATTTGAATAAGGTTTATTCGCTTTGTTCGTATAAATTACTATTAGAGGTTAGATATTAAGACAATTATTGGTTTGCAACAACTAAGCTTACTGTTTCTTAAAGTGTTCTTAACACCCTCACAAACAAAGTAAATCTATTTTTACTAATTGCATATGTATATTTGTATACAATCTTATCAACATAATCCACAAATTAAGGAATTAAAAAATTTTAAATTCCGTTACATATTATCTTACTATGTTATTTTATATTCAATTCTCAACACATACTAATTGGTATACCGAACAGTTTGTTTGGAGGGTTATGTTTGATTGACGATACCATTTTAAAGAATGTGACATAGGCTTAGAAATGGCTCGTGATTAGATTAATACATAGACATGACATCTTCAATGCCCTAGTCCAGGAGGTTTGAGAACAAAACAGAAAATCTGAGGGAAATTAAGAAGTTAAAAGAAGACCAACATTAGGTTTGCAAAATTTGATATTTGATTTGAAATCATACATTCTTCTATAATAATTATTTTTATGCTGGAATTTTCCACCTGAGCTTTAATCCTTGTTTCTATGGTTCAATTCAAAGTTGAATCCCTGTCGCAGAATCTAGTTCAATGCTTTCTATGTCTGCAACTGGGATTTGTCACTCTTGCTACTGTCTTAAATCTTTTTCCCTGACTCTGCAATTGATTTTGTACTGAATATAATTAATTATATCTTCCACTCATGATTCTCTTGGTTGAACATAAAAAAGTTACATTGAGGCTGAAACAAATTAGACTGAATGATCTTCCCCCTAGAAAATTAGATTTTGGTAAAATTTTTAAAAAATTAAATTTAAAATTAAGTTAAGTTGATTTATGAAAATATTATAAAATATATTTCAGGTTTAATTTTTTATTTTCTTGTATAATTTTTTTTTAAAATATCTCTAATTATATTATAAAAAATAATTTAAATGATTTTACTAAAGCTTTTTTTTCCTGTAGAAAAAATTGGAAAGTTGTTACATCCAAAATCGTTATAGTAGTTTTCATGGATTGAAAGCTGGTTAAGATGATACTTAGCTCTTACAACGACATTGGGGACCTTGGTTGGGGCATAGGTTTTTTTTTTGTGTCTTCACTTTTGGATCAGCTTTAGAATGGAACAAGATAAAGGCTGTAGAACTGCCACCTGGGCCTTTCTTATGACACATCCAACCACCAATACTCTCTTTACATGCTTTTAAACAATATCGATTTGATTTTAGAACTAAAGTTTTTAGATTTTAGTTTTATTGTATTTGAATTTGATTATTTAATTATATAATAAATATAATAAATTATTATTCAATTGATTATATAAATATAATATTTTATTATAATTACAAATTTAAAATTATAAAAAAATTGATTTGATTTTAAGATAATTATCATAGAATTTTGATATGGCTCAACTGTACCTAAAACTGTTACTCATAATAAATAAATGAATATATAGCTTCAAATATTTTAAATAAGCAATTATGACTTTTTTATATATAAATATTCTCTAAGCTCTAAATTGATTTTATAATTTATAATCTAATCCCAAAAAATTAAATCACGAATTCTCTGCTTAAAATAAACAAAAAAAAAAAAACTTCATAAGTTATAGTTAGATTGTGGAGTTTAAAATAATGCATGAAAGCTTCTTAAGCGGTTATAAGATTTAATTTATTTTTAGGGTTTCCAATGCTTTTTTGTTCATTTGCAAGTACAGAAGAAAAAACATAATTTTTTTGAACTAAGTTATAGATCTAAAATCAATTTAGCATTTTTTTTTTAATTTTCTTAAAAAGTTAGAATTTTCTTAGGGATTATATTCTCTTAATTTTATTTTTAAAGTAAATGAATTGCATTTGTTGATGACTTTCAAATTTGGTTCGAATATCATTTTTGTTTTTATAGGTTAAAATATTTTTATTTGTATAAAAAGCTTATTCTATCAAATTTAAATTAATTCTTTCATTTTTTAACAAATTGAATTTACACAAAAACACCATGTTTGACGATTAGTAAATGGATGATTTCTTGATAATTAGAATGGCAAAAAATTTTTTATGTAAATTAAAATTTTGATAATAACATTATGACATTTCAAATTTCGACACCGTAAGCGTTTGAGTTGAATTTTAAATTTAACTCACATAAATTATAATATTTTTAATTTAAATTTAATCCTAATCGAATTAATGTCACTGAGAGTGATCATGAGCAACAGCCCATCCAATGGACATTTTTGAAAAGTGAATGTGTAATTTTGTACTTCAGCTGTGGGCCTTTGATCAGTGCATCACAGTCGACGACTGAGGTGTTGATAGGTCCAGGTGGTTCGGGGCTGAACTGGTTGTGGGCGCACCCACAGCTGGCTGGCTGGCTCCGTGTAAACTGTCGTTTTTGTTGCCCTTGCGGATTGGGACCCTTTCCAAGTTTTTGTCCTTAAACAAGCCTACCCGCTAGGGTTTTGTAGGCCTGCAAGTACTGTTGGCGTGTTTTGTTTTTTCTTTGTACCTGAGAATCAGGGGAAAAAAGATGATAGGAGTCGGCGGGAACTGGTCGACTGGCGTCTAAGTAGTGCAGTTTAAAGTTACGTTTGTCCCATCTAAATAGCACAAGCCTAACTACAGCTGGTTGAACTCAAGTAACAGGTGGTTAATGGATAATCGTCAAGCCAAATTTCCCACGTTTTTAGAGTAATGCAATTGATGATTTTTAAATTATAAATTTATTAATTACCATGATATTTATTTTTTATATAATTAATTTTAAATAATAATATATTATAGGTAAATAATTTTTAAATATTATATTAATTAATAAATTTATAATTTATATTTAACATTTTTTAAATTCATAAAATATATTAAACATTTCATTAAAATTTATAAATAATTTATGATATAAACTTGTTATTATATTTCTATAATGGTTTTTTTTGTCTAATTTAATATTTTTAAGCTTTATTTAAAAGTGTGAATGTTAAAAAGATAACTTCGTTACAGTGGGATTTATGTTAAATTACGTGAAAATGTGAAAAATAGTAGAATAAAAAAAATGAAAAATTCATCCTTACCAAATCCAACAGTGAGAAAAAAAATCTAAATATAATTAAGGTAACTTCATATTCACTTAAGGCATAATCTTTGGTAGTCGGTACATACATTTATAAAAGAAAAACCCCACAAAAGCATGACTCCTTGACGGTGGAAGCCAATGACCAAAGAACAAAAAAGAAAACGAATCTTAAGCTCCTTTAAATCAAAATCCAAAGTCATTTTCTTTCAATATATGGCCAATAAAATAAAGTTAAACATCATCAATCATCTTGTAAGGTAGAGGTAGTCCTTGTTGTAAAGAATATATAGTATGAAAAAATACGTTCAACTTTTCCTGATATCCAATCTAATTATGGTCCACATAGGCATCTTTTCCTTATCTTGATAAAAAATAAACAAAACAACTCTTATCTTTCCGTTATTCATGAATTATCAATTGGACCCCTCCTTTTGAAATACTTATGCAAAAAAATTGAAACTCTATGTGTACTTGTTGGCTCTTTCGGCTCTCGTTTTCTGTTTACTCTATCACCTTTTCAGATTCGTATATCAAAGCAAAAGTTTTTTTGGCAGTGTCAAGAATCAGATTTTTAATCAATTGAAAATTAATGGTTGAAATGGTTTAATTTTAATATAAGATTATAATAAACTCAAAATTTAATAAATATGAAATAATTTATCATATGATAAATTATGAAAGAAAATATGTAGAAGTAATAGACAAAAAAAACATATAATAGAAATTGGACTATAATACCAATTAAGCCAACATCTTAAAGTCAATTGATAATAGATGAAATAATTTAATTTAAACATAAAATTATAAAAACCTAACAAATAATATTAAAAAAAAAAGGGAGGTGACCCCAAGACAAATAGACAACCTAGCATTATTCAAGGGTTAACATTGATTCATTAACATGATGATGATGACGGACGACCTATAAAAATTGATGCAATTTTCTTAGCCAGCTTGTATTAATAATGGGATGCCCCAATTCTGACATAGCCCCATACTTTCCAATGAAAAAGTTTAGAAAACATGAAATTAAAAGAAAAATAATATAATAAGACTTGGAGGGATCGATTCTTGTTTACTCGTTTTCAAAGATCAAAGTTCGATCATGACTTCTTATCACCCACTTCCATTTGATTTATATAAATTCTTGCATGTATTGCATCTTTTATGTGCATAGAATATAAGAACATGCTAAATGTAACAATTTTTTTATTCCAACTTTATTTGATTTAAGGATAAAAAAAATCTTAAAATAATATTATGAATTATGATTATATTACTTGTCTTTTTTTTTTTTTGAAGGAACATAATAGTTTTCGAATTAAAATTTTTGGTCCAAATTCATCATTTTCTTACCACTTAAACAAAGCTCAATTGGCACAATCAAAGGTGAACGTAAGGAGGGAATGTTTTCTAACTAAAATCAGGAAAAAGAAAAAAAGGGTTTAGCATAGGCTCAATGGTGGGAATGGCTTTTTCAAAAGAGTTGTTTGCAAGAACTTAAACTAACGGTGTCTTGAATGAAGCTCACCATACACAAATTGGGCCTCTAGCCTTTTTGAAAGCATAAAACCCATTGCAAATTAGGTGATAGGATTTTTATTTTTATTTTTTTTTCCTTTTCGGCATTCTAACTTCTACTTATTAAATGAGAGATGTGGGGCGGAAAAAGTCAAGTGAGTAATCCTTCTTAAAGAGGGTTGCTTTTTACACCTCAACATTTATTCTAACACACCTCGTTATCTTATTTTTTACTTATTACACTTAAAATTAAAATTTATCACAACATCTAAACACTTTCTCTTATTTCTCACACTCCATAACTTTTTTCTCTCTTCCTAGCCATAAATCCTAAAAATTTAAAATTAAATTTAAAGAAAAATTCATTTATTTGAAGTTAAAAAGCTTATAATCACAAGTAAATAATTTGTTCATTATATATATATATATTTCGTTTTATTTCATGTTTTGTTTCATTAAAAAAGTGTTTAGATATTATTCATAACTTCTTAAAATAAATTTTTAAAAATTTTTGAAAGCTTTTGGAAATAAAGATTTTTTGAAATAGCTTTTTGAAAAGATTTTCGAAAATAGATATTAAGGACCCTTTAAAAACTTTTAAGATAGATTTTGAAATTTTTTAAAGGTTTTTTTATATTCAATTTTTGAAAATCAACATATCTATCATCATCTTCAATCTTCATGTTGTAATTGGTTTTTTTAAGTTCACTTTTTATTTGATAATAGACAATATGGTTATAAAATTTAACAATAATATAACTTATTATAATGAAGAAGGAGATAAGATAAGAAGAAAGAGATGCGAAGAATAAAAAAATAATTGACTAAAAAACATTTAAGTAATTTTATTAAAAGTTAAATTTATAATAAATTTTTTTATATGTGTCGAGTAGTTCTTAAGGTACAAATAAAACCCTCCTTCCTATTTAGTAAATTAAAAAAAATAAACAATTAAAGAGATGAGAGAGAATTTATCTCTAGTTAATTAATTTAATAAATAAAAATTTAATTATCTTTTTATACAGATAGATTCTTAATTAATATTATTTTGAATATGGATAGATTATATATTATTTTTATATTTAATGATATTATTAATGTTTGTTATTATACCAAAATTAATTCGATAATAAATATTTTATATAATGAATTAAAGATAAATATATTATTCAATTCTTTATGTCAATATATACTCGATAATACATTCAAAATTAACATAAAAAAACAATATCAGTCATATTAAATTAAACTTACCATTAAACCAACCCTTTTATTTGTTGATAATAGCTTTACGAAAGATTTAACATCATATGATGCTAGTTTTTTTTTTTTTTTTATGAAATAAAACTTTAGGGTAAAGGGACTTTCAAAAGAAGATTATAAGTTTAAAAAAAAAAGTTTTACATTAAATTTACATATCATTTATAAAAAATTGTCGACGGTAAAACTCAAGTATAAAATTTATAAATAAAATATTTAAATCTTATCGATTCAATTAAATATCGGTCAGCTATAACACTAGTGCTTGGTTAGCTTTCTTGGTCCAATTGAATCAAATACCAAAAAAGAAATTTCAAGTCATTTTGGGGCAGTTAGGAGAGTCTCAAAGACTTGGGCTTTTTATGTCCATGTGGATATAAAACATCACATCTAAAGAAAACAAAGATGGGCTCTGAATTTGTTGGCCAATCTATCAATCTTGCCTCCCAGTTATGAAATAAATAGGTGATGGAACTACAGCATTATAAAAGCAAGTCTCTCCACACCAACTAACCAGTAAATATATGCCTTTGAATCAGTGCATTTTTTGTTGAATATCATTAAAATAGAAATTTCTTTCAAAGCTCAATTGGATTTACATCAAAATGACTTTATGAGTTTAATTTTTAAAGGAACTAGGGGTTTTAATTTACCCTTATTTTGTCTAAATACAAGAGAGATCTTGACCAAAATACTAATTAATAAAAGTTTTTAGTCAAAAACAAAGTTTACAAATTTGTTTTTTTTTTAATTCCGGAAAATGAGGGATTTAAATCATATCCTTTGAACAAGTCATTATGCATCAATTATTGAATTAAATGTTTGGATTAGCTTATGATTTCATCTTAGAGCTATTAAATTTAAATAATGAGATGAAGAAGGTTACATTTTCTTGTGTAATTCAATATCAAATGTAAAATAAATAAAAAAAGTGTTCAAGTTGTATATGAACAAAATTATTGAAAAAATAATAATTTCATAATTATTATGTTAGGTAAATTACCTACACTATCTCACTAGATAAATTTACCCTTTAAGTTGTCAAATATGAAATAAAATTAAAAAAGTTTAAATCTACATTTCACATTAAGATAAGTAGATATCCTATTTAAAGTAGTAGATGTTCCATTTAAAGAAAGTACTAACAAGATATGACTAAACTACACTAGAAAAATTAAAGAACACTATCTAACCCTTTTTCATTTTTATTGGTCAAATTGAAGTTAAGAAATACCAATATTCTCAAGGCCATCGAGGAGGTGGTTGTTCCTATAAAATGAATCTTAAAAAAGGGTTTTGCAAAAACTTAAAAACTCATAAAATTGCTTTAAAAAATTATTTTAAATTTATGTAATTTAAAAATATTTTAAATTTTAAATTTAATTTAATTAATTTATATAATTATTTTTAAACGATAACATTTAATATATTTAGAATTCAAATTTCATTATCCATCACTTTTCTTTTATCTTTCTATTGTGATTTCATTTATATTAAAAAATCTCATAAATAAATGCACCAATATTTATAAAAAAAAAATTATTATTTTACTTGATTTGGTATGATTAAATTTTATACATTAAATTTGATATCATAACCATGTCCTTCAAAATGGAAAGGATATCATGATTACCATGATTTCCATTACTAATTATTGAAGAAAAAGTTAAATTATTCCATAAATAAATTGAGAAAAAAAAAAAGGAAAAGCACCCAATTAGTTGTGGGGGTATGACTTATGACTAATAATAGAATATACTTTGATGTTATAAGATAAGATCCAATTATTTAACAGGGTGTGAAAGGAAGACTTCCTTTTATAGTGGTGGTGGGCAAATTGTTGGTAACCAACACTAGAAAAAAAACACATAATAAAACAAAACAAAACAAAACTAGGGAGGTTAAGGTGGGCATGTCCTTGTTTTCCTGCCATCTCTCTTCTCTCTTTCTTCCTCTTTTATCATAATGTAATCATTTTTTTCTCTGAATTCTATAGGGTTTGTTGGTTGTTCTTTAATGAATCTCTGGCATTCCCATGTGATTAAATAAATAGGAAGAGAAGGGGAATTCAAGAAGCTTAATTTTTTATGTCTTTCATGGGCATTTCCTTGATTTCTTGACTCATTTCTGAAGAGTTTCCAAATTCCTTTCTTGGAGGTAAACCCATTTTTTTTGTTTAATTTTATATTTTTATGTATTTTCAATATGGGTTCATGGATTTGTATCTTGTGTTTAATTTTAAGATTTATTTCTCATCTGGGTTTTTATTGGTTTATGTTTAAAAATTTTTTTATCTTTTCTTAATTCAATGGATTAATATCATTATGTATCTGTTTTAACCGTTTGTGGGATTATTTATTTTGCTTTTTTTTCTTTGTTGTTGGAATTTAGATGAGATACAGGTGGTTTTAACCAATTTGTATGCTTTTGAGATGTAAATATGAATTTTTTTTTTTTACATTCACAAAAAGTGTTTAAGACAATCAATCAAGGCCTGGTTTTCAATAGTTGGAGTCGGAAAATGTGTATGCTTTTGTAGTTTTTGTTTGATATAGTTGGAGAATGGAAGAAAAAAAAAAATCAACCGGAGTAACCATGTAAGATTGTCCTCTGGTTGAAGTTATTTCAAAAATAGGAAATTTCTGTTTGTAAAATTCATTGCTTCAATCTGATTAAATTTTTCTTAAAAATATAAGCAATGTTTTGCCTAGTTTTGTTCAATAGTTTTTGGGAAAAAGGTGTTTAGATAGTTGAATAGTTGGTATTATGATTTTGTTGGGTTGAGAATTGGATTTAGATGAGGAGGTATGACAACTTTTTTTTTATATGCTCAGAAGAAATTATGAGGATAAGAACTTTTATCTCTATTGATCTTTAGCTTATTTTATTAATATAAGTGCTGCAGTTTACTTATGAATTAAGGAAGTGTGGTGTGGTTGGATATTTTCACTATGTTTTGTTGCAGTCCATGAGCTAAACAAATGAAAAAGCTTTATTCATCATGAGATACCAAATTGAATTCTAGATGCTGTGTCTGTTTTGAAATTTCAGGGCTTTTTGATTCTTGAAGGTTCTCAGGATGGAGGAGATACAGAAGCCTGACAGTCATATCACATCAGCTGCAGCTTTTGTTGAAGGGGGGATCCAGGATGCCTGTGATGATACTTGTAGCATATGCCTCGAGGAGTTTTCTGATAGCGATCCTTCAACAGTAATACCTAAAACCACAGATTCATTATTACTAACCCCTTTCTTGGTGATGGGGATTTTCTGCACCATGTTCATTTCTATTGTGTTGAAGTAACCTTTATTTGAATTCTTTTACTACATTTTCTTGCAGGTAACTAATTGCAAGCATGAGTTTCACCTCCAATGCATTCTTGAATGGTACGTTTCATGTAAATCTCAAAATAATCATCTTTTCCACTGTGTTAAAATTCATTATTTATGATTACTGCATTTTTTCTCACAGGTCATAACTGTCACCTATATTGTTGCCCCCTTATTTTATTCATTATGCATTTTATATATCTAAATTTTGTTCTCCCCCCTTCATTGCCTGTTAGTGAATTGGATAAGACATTAATCATAGTTCCATGGGTGGGAGGACAGTGAGAGTGCAAGGGTAAGGAGTCATCATGTGACTGGGAAAAGAAGAAAAAGAGCGGCCTCTAGAAATGCTAAACATGGACAAAATTATTGCTCTATATAGTATATATTAAACATCCAATTTTCTCACAAGTCACAATAGTCTTGGACAGATACATATTTGACATAATTATATGGTATGAGTATGTGATCGCATGATGCATTTGATTCTGACATGACAATTTCCTGAATCTGATTTTGACATGACCACATGATGTATTTCATCCTTTGTTCAATGTTTTATATAATATTTTGAGTTTGATTTCTTATCCTTTGATAACAATAATTGTGGTTAAGTTTTGTCTGGTTATCTGTTGATAGTTTCTAACTTGCTATTCTCGTCTACCCCGTTTATTTATGTGCCAACTTTTGCTCCCCTCTCCTTAGTTTTCTTTGCAACAACTGTAACCTGTATTTTGATTGATGAAGATGTCTTAGTTTCTTGTTTGATCTATTGGGCTTTTGTTCAACTTCTGGCAATTAGTATTTGATGTTGCTTTGCTTCTTAAATGTAATTAGAGAGTATTGAAGAGTTTCAGGTGTCTCTTGTATAACTACCGATGGAATGTCAAATTAGTACCTATGTTTCTAACAAATCAAGCACTGATAGAAAGTAGCTGGTACCATTTTTCTAGGAAAAAAGAAACAGGTACCAAATTTTACTTTTAGGATTTATACTTCCTAGTTAATTCACCCTCTTGTTTATTATAATTTACGAAGTTGCATGAACAATTTGCTGGTTTAATTTGGACTGGCGACAATATCTTGATATTTAAGTTATTTGGATTTTGGAAGTATACACTTTTGAAAAGGAAGAGATCACAAAATAAAGCTTGAATTTGATACAAGTTTTTTATTTTTAGGTCCCAGAGGAGCTCTCAATGTCCCATGTGCTGGCAAGCCATTAGCTTGAAGGACCCTGCAAGGTTTTTCATTTATATGCACAGAAATTTTTACGTCAAAAATTTTCTCACCATAACATCAAAGGAGTTAGCTAATAATGTGCAAATGGTGACAGTCAAGAATTGCTTGAAGCAGTAGAAAGAGAAAGGAGCTTTAAAGTTACTCCATCAGGAAATACCACCATATTTCACCATCCTTCCCTTGGTGATTTTGAATTGCAACATGTATGCTGCCTATAAGTGCTTCTTATAATCTTTGGTTTACTATTGTTTGGCAATAAACTTGTTACTACAGTCATCCATTAAATGGTACTTACACAATTTTTGCATTTTAATGTAGTTACCAGTTGGTGTAAATGACCCTGAACTTGAAGAGCGTATAATTCAGCACCTGGCTGCTGCTGCGGCAATGGGAAGGGCCCACCATGCTGGTAGGAGGGAGGGCCAGAGAAGATCATCTGCTCATAGTCGTCCACACTTCTTGGTGTTTTCTACTCATCCTGGTGCACAGCATTCTGGTTCTGTATCGTCACCTCTGACGCAGATAGCAGGGGAAACTGAAGCAGCTGCAATAACTGTAGCTAGTCCATCTACTTCACTATTGACTAGAGGAGATGAGTTATCCCACCAGATGTCACCACTTTCTTCTAGTCAAAATACACCAGCCTCTGGATCTACTGTTTTGCCAGTGAATAGGCGAGGATTTTCCTTTAATAATCGGTATTTATGACTTCTTTGTTCATGTTTTTTATGCATTTGAATGCTACATGAATTATCTATCGAGTATTTATCTTTTGTTAGCAGAAGTACTTATATTCATTTTCTAATAGTGCATGTATCCTGTAGTTAATTATTTGCTTTTGTCTATTGAAGCACTTTTAGTAATTCCTCATTGCCAAATCAAGAGAGAGCTGGACCATCAGAGTTTCAGTCTTTTTCAGAATCGCTGAAATCCAGACTTAATGCAGTGTCCTTGAGGTATGGTGGAAAAATATGAAATCCCTCTTATGGGATCTCTTTGGAGGTGTGAAACTAGATAATGCATGCTTTTATCAAATGTTTCTAATTTATTGTTAAAACATCTTGAATTAAAGATATAAGGAGTCAATTTCAAAGAGTACCAGAGGCTGGAAGGAGAGGTGGTTCTCCCGTAACTCTTCTATGTCTGATATTGGGAATGAAGTTCGTAGAGAAGTGAGTGCAGGAATTGCTAGTGTATCTCGTATGATGGAGCGTCTTGAAACCAGGGAAAATATTAGAGAAAACCAAGCTTCTGTGTCACATCATTTGGCTCAATCGTCTGTTACAGAGCAAACCAACCAGCATAATACAGGGACTCGTGGAGATAACCCTTCAAATATTAGCCCTTCACCAGCTTCGCATACTGCAAGTTCTCTTTCTAATTAAGTTATGAAAAATTATTACAGCAAATTGCATCTATCCTCGCATTTCATCTTTGTAGGTGAGTCATCATGTTACTTTCTATTATCTTTTTCTTTTATATTATTATTCAGGCATTGGAACCCACTAATAGAAAATAATGAATTTACTTCCACCATCCGTCTTATTATCCACCGACTGCCCATATTAATCTTGTATGATATTCTTCATCCTGTATCTTTTGAGTACAGATTTATAGGTGACACTCTTGAAGAATTTTCTGTATTAACATATCTTGTAGCATGAATTTCTGGTACAAAGCAATCTTATTGTTGATCACAGCTGAAACCATTGCACCTTCCCATGTTTGTTTATTGGCTGAAATTTTAGGGGGAGAAAAATCTGCTTTGTTGTAGATCTCCAATGTTTCAGCAGATTTATCTCTGTTGTAATTTACCTTAATCTTCATTGAATATTCATCAGTTTACTTGGGGTTTTGCAGGTTGCCTATCTTGTTTCTCCAGAAATGACATGCTGAGGAAAAGATGCTTTGTGAATGGACAGAGACAGGTCATGGTGATTTTGGTCTGAATCTGAATAAAATGAGAGGAAGTCTGAGAAAAAAACTTCCATCTGGACTGAGACTTTTATGTGGGTATATGTGTGTAAATTCGTTTATATATAACCCGATTTAGTGCGCGATATTGTATTAATTACGTCCGGATGGCTGATTTGACACTGTCTGAATGTTAATGACTCTTGTGGATGAACTGGTGAGACTAGATGGAATCTAAAACATCCTTAATAGATATTGCAATTTGCTAAAAAGTTTGTCTTGTCCTTATGGCCGTTAACATCAATGGACTTTAGAGAACTAGAGAAGCAAAATTAGTGAAGATATTCAACTTGACTAGACTTTTCCCCTGCCAATGTCCATAGGGACAAAAGAGCTATGCTTAAGTGTAGTTCTCTGCAAACTTATGTGGAAACTCAACTTGGTTTCGAAGTTAGGAGCGGAGATCCTGTTTCTCCAAGTTTCTGTGTGATCGGCAGGTTTGAACTTTGCCATATTTTGAATTCCAGGATTTGTAGCCATCAAATGAAGGCCCATTAACGACAGAAATGATTGATCCTATTTACTAGAATTTATTTGAAAAGGATAATTTAGGTTGACTGTTTGAGAATTAGCCCACAAAAAGAAGCATGATAACAAGAACTAAAACATAACCACATAAGGTGGTTTATTTATTTATTTTTTCACATTTTATGTTGTCAAAGATTAAATTTAGTATCCTATTAACATATAGCAAAAAAAAATTACTGGTTTATAATGATGATGCATGCAAGGTTTTGTTCTTGCCCAGAGCTGGTCCATTGAGTAGACACAGATGCAATTCTCTTGGTTTAAGTTTCTCAAAGAAAACCTTCAACTATTAAAACTTGACATTCTAATTTAAAATTCAGAGTATTTTAATTCAGAAAAACAAGGATTGTGAGACGAGAAAACTATCTTCCAACACGTAATCCAAACTTATATGTAAAAGGCTAAGTGTTACTGCTATTGTACCCATGTTCTTGTACGAATCTATATTTTTCTGGTTGGAAGCAGTCCTTTGCAAACTCCATGGTCGAGAGCAGTACTGCACAGCTCAACCATTGAAACAAGCCAATTCAGGAAGGAATGCCGAAACGCAAAGTCTAAAATTTCACGGACAGAGTTAATTGAATTAGTAAGATTTGAATGTTTTTTTAATAAAATTTATATCCAAATTTTGTTCTTAACAATCTCTTTTAATAGATAATCTGTAAATTTAACGTAGATCTTTTCTTAAATTTATGATTTTTCTTAACTAACCCTAAATTCTTTTTTATAAAAAAAAATTCTAAAAATTTGACCAAAAAAGAACAAAAAAAAAGACTCCACAGCCTTTGTCTTATATTTACGTAATACGTGTGGTCATAGTCCCTACTCCCCACTCCCTAACTCCGAAGTGTGGGCGGTTGGACCCCTCTGTTTCCCTTTCATTTTCAACTCTCTCATCTGGTAGATTGGGTTTGGAGGAGGGTCCCGAACAAGAACAACCCATTGTATTAACTAACCGTCAGAATATGCCAGGAAAAGCTTGACCCTGTCTTTATATTTTAATTTTGCTCTTGGTTTTTGCTGGAAATTTTCAATAAAAAGGAGACAGAAAGTTACAGCATGTTGATTAGAAAAAAAACAAAATCATGTGGCTGTGGGCATCTTCAATTGTGGAAGCCAAGGAATATGGGCCCTTTAAACCTTTATACATTGCCACTAACCTTTCTAATAATGTCAACAGAGGCGGAGCTAGAGAGGTAGGCAGGGTAACGATCTCTCCAAAAATATTTTTTTTTATTACATAAATGATCAAATTTATCTAATTATTATTCTGATTTCTTTTTTTTTAATTATTATTTGAATCCTCTTTTATTAATTTATTCCCTTCGCCTCTAATATCAAATGCTTATCTAATATTATCAATCAACATTCAAAGTCCCCAATTATTTTGCTTTTTCCACTTTTGCTCCTTCCAAAAGCTATTTCAACAATTTAGTCAAATGAACGGTTAGGTTAAAATGTTGAAAGGATGTGAAATTCGGGTTACAAATTTTTTTTTTTTCATTTTGGTCAATGGGTTCATATTGCTAACTAATAATAAATTTTTTAGCATAAAAAATCATAATACAGGGATAAAAAAGATATTACAAGTGTTATATTTAAATTCATATATATTTAAAAAATTTTAAAAATTTATCAAATGCATTGATAATAAAATTTTAAACATAGCTAGTGAAATTAAAATTTATATTGATATTATACCGAATATTAATTCATATTTAAATATTATATTGTAACATGATTATATAAATTTAAAAAATTAAAATTGAATTTAATAATAATAATTTAACAATAAAAAGAAACTCTCAAAACATATTTTTCAAGGATTTATTTCTCACGTGGGTTGGAGAAATAAATCTATTGTAGACCCCAAGTCAAATCTTATCTTTTATCAGAATTTTTTTTTAAATACCAATTTTAGGGTTCTTAAAATTTTCAGTTATGACATTTTTTTTTATTAAAAATGATAAATCAATTATTATCATAATGCACCGACACTCATGAATGGGGGCTTTATCTTTTGCTTATTTTTTTTAATTACATGCATTCAAATGAATTGGTTTGAAATTATTTAAGAATTAAGGGTGCGCTACAACTTCTTTGGAATGTTGGCTTAACTTTTTTGGAGCTTCATTACGTTGTCGTTTTTTTTTTAAAATAATGTTTTAATGCTTGAGCTATTATCAATTGCATAAAATTTCTTAATTTGAGCATTTATTAAAACAAGATTTTTTTATATATATAAATAAAGTGAAAGCAACATCTCAACTCAAACCGACGCTGATGAGTCTTAACTTGAAATGAAAAAAAAAAATCCATTATAAAATTATTTTATCAACTAGAATTCTTGAATAGATTAAAAACAGTTAAAGCACAAATTTTAACATTAATCAGATCATTTTAATGTTTAAGATCGAGGAATCAAATTCTTATCACTGAAAAAATTAATATTATATTAATAAATTACACAATTGTTGATAAATTTTAACATTAATTAAAAATAAATTTGTTTATATTCTTAAAAAAAATTGAGTTATCTTCATTTATAATTTCTAATGTAATTTTAGAGATTTATATTAATGACATTCAAAATATTCTTAGGTCCCATTCAGAAATTACATTTAAAATGAGTGATTTAGATTTTAAACTAATAATAAATCGTGTTAATAAAGTTCAAATAACATAATTTTTAGGATTTATTAAAATTGTTGTTTTGAATTTGAATACCTAAACAAAAATGTTAACTTTCGGCAAAAAAAAAAAGCAAAAATGTTAACTTTAAATTAATTCATTTATATTCTTTCAAATAAATAGATACATTTGAGTTTTACACTAATTTTTACTTCATTTCTATGATCATTAAAAGGAAAAAAAAAACCAAATTTATCCAACAAAAATTAGAGCATTTTATTTAGATTTATCCAATTAAAAAAATAGATTTTTTTGGAAAGATTAATAGGGATGTAATCGATCTAGTTCGAATTAATATAATATTAAATTTGAGTTCGAGTTTAATTTTAAATTCGAGGTTAGAAGCTCGATTTGAACTTAATCAAAATTTATTTTTTTAGCACAAACTCGATTCAAGATAAAATTAAGTTATTCGAGTTTATTCGATTAAATTCGATTAACATATAAAAATAAAATCAATTCTTATATTCAATAAAAATTTGATTATTTGTATTTGAGTTTAAACTCGAGTTTGAAATATTTTATCAATTAAAATAATTAAAATATAAAAATTTGATTGAGTTAATGAATAATTCGAATTAAGTATAAAAATGTTATAATTTAATTTAATCGATAAGTCAAATTACTCGAATTTAAGTTTAATTCGATAATAATCGAATCGAATTTAAATTTTATTTAAATCAAATTTAAATAATTTATAAGTATTAATATATTATTTATATAATAATATAAGGTTACATTACAAATGAAAGTGACATAAGGGAGTGTTTGAAGGAGGAAGTGAAAGTGACAAACGATCTAACGGTGGGCGAGAGGTCGGCTGCTGACGGCAGCGGGAAGACATTGACTGCCTGTCCGAATATCAAATTTCACGAGCGAGCTTTATATATATATTTTTAAATTTTTTTGGGTATGGCATGGCGTGAAAACAAAGGACATTTTTCTAATTTTCTTCATTTTCGGACACCGACAGCTTGCCTTTGCCTTAGCTTGAAGCCAACATGTGAAAAGTTGGGTACTGCTTTATTAGCCTCGGCTACTGTGATCTGTCCGGAGCCTTCTCGGCTTCTCCCTCGGATGCGTGCCCCGTGTATCTGCCCTCCGCTTTCTTATTACTATATTAAGAAAGCAGTGCTATAATTAAAACCTACCAACAACATAACTCAACACCTTTTTTTTTTATCTTAGCAAACTGTAGCTCTAATAAAAGATAGAATTATTGTTACAAATAATTCGTTTAGTTTAATAGCTTAAATATTAATAATTTATATTAATATTATATTTTATATAAAAATCAAATTAATAATTTATATAGCTGTAAAAAATATATAACTTTTATTAAAATTTTAAATTTTTTTTCATATTTTATAATATATTTGTCCACGGAGTAGTCAACCCAAAAAATTAACTGTTAACCGTACAAGGAGGCTTGGCTAGTGTCTCAAGTCTCAACTTAGAAGGTAGAAGCCGAGCAAAGCAAGCTCCTGACAAGTGACAGAACAGTCCCTCTTCCTGGCTGTCTGAACTCCAAGTCCAGCCCCAAAGCTACTTCTCTCTCACCAAACCTCAAAACCAAATCTCGCACCGACACAACACAAATCCCCCAAATCCCATACTTTTTTTTTTCTTCATCATTTCATTGCCATTGCAGGGCATCGTCTTGCCCAAGTTTTTCCCTTTGTCTTTGCCTGTCGCGCACTTTTTGTGACTCTTCCCCAAGCAATTGCCACCAAACTCCCCCTCCGCTTCTCTTCTTCTCCCTCAAAACCCAACACCAAATTCTCCCAGTCTTCAAAAATCTCGTCTTGGGTTTTTGTCAAAGACTTTTTCTTTTTCAGTTTTCTTTGAGTACCATGAATTCTAACGTCTACGGCGTCTCTTCCTCCAAAATCGTCTTTTTTATCTTCTTGTTCTTTGTTTCGTTTGCCATTGCTGCATTGCCTCAAAACCCATCTGGGAAATCCTTCTCTTCGTCGGCTTCCGGTCAGATTAACTCAAACTCGGTCCTTGTTGCTCTCCTTGACTCGCATTACACTGAGTTAGCTGAACTCGTTGAGAAAGCTTTACTACTCCAAACCCTTGAAGAAGCTGTTGGTAACCACAATATTACCATTTTTGCCCCTCGAAATGAAGCCTTGGAGCGTCAACTCGACCCGGAGTTCAAACGGTTCTTACTTGAGCCCGGAAACCTGAAGTCTCTCCAAACCCTTCTAATGTTCCACATTATCCCCAAACGGGTCGGGTCCCACCAATGGCCAGACCCCAAAACCGGTCCTTTTAAACACAACACCCTGTCTAACGACCATCTGCAGTTAACTTCCAAACCCAGCGGCAAGAAAACTGTGGACTCAGCCGAGTTGATTCGACCCGACGACGTGATCCGACCCGATGGAGTCATCCACGGGATCCAGCAGCTCCTCATTCCCCGTTCAGTCATAGAAGATTTTAACAAGAGACGTAATCTGCGGTCAATCTCCGCCGTTTTACCTGAGGGTGCGCCAGAAGTGGATCCTCGCACCCACAGGTTGAAGAAGCCAGCGCCAGTGCCAGCTGGAGCACCACCTGTACTCCCGATCTACGACGCGATGGCACCAGGTCCTTCTCTGGCACCGGCGCCGGCTCCGGGACCTGGTGGACCTCATCATCATTTTGACGGTGACAGCCAGGTCAAGGATTTTATCCAAACGTTATTACATTACGGCGGGTATAACGAAATGGCTGATATTCTAGTGAACTTGACTTCTTTAGCAACGGAAATGGGGAGACTAGTTTCCGAAGGATATGTTATAACGGTCTTGGCTCCGAATGATGAAGCCATGGCGAAGCTTACTACCGATCAGTTAAGCGAGCCAGGGGCTCCGGAACAGATTATTTATTACCATATTATTCCTGAGTATCAGACTGAGGAGAGCATGTACAATGCGGTTCGGAGGTTCGGGAAAGTGAGATATGATACGCTGCGTTTGCCGCATAAGGTAGTGGCTCAGGAGGCTGATGGTTCGGTCAAATTTGGGAATGGTGAGGGTTCAGCCTATCTGTTTGATCCGGATATTTATACGGATGGGAGGATTTCGGTTCAGGGAATTGATGGGGTTTTGTTCCCGGAGGAAGAGATTGAGACTGTTAAGAAACCAGCTGCTGTTAAGGTCTCCTCCAAGCCCAGAAGAGGTATGTTCTTTTTCTTGTAGTTTTATTAATTCTGTAACTTTTTTGGTCAATCTGTCAGGTTATCTAGTTAATTAATTATTGTTCGGAAATAAATTCAATAATTGGGCAACTTTGAGCTTGTGGTTGGTTTGGTTTTAGATTTTAGTATTTAGATTAGAATTGATGGGGTCTAAAAAAGAATGGGAATTTTGAATGCTGGAAAGTGGTATGGAATTGCTTCAGGTTCAGGGAGTAACTATTAAGTTGGAACTTGGATGGTGTTCTTTTGATAATTGATGTTTTTGGTAGTAGTGGGGCTGACGAGAATCCTGAAATACACCTATAATTTGGTCTCTTTTTGATGATGGTGGTTTTGTCTATGTAGTCTATGGAAAGGAAAGCTGTGAGCTACCTTTGCTTAAACATTACAGAAATGAGACAATAACATCGTGCCATGTTAAAGAATGATTCGATGATGTGAATAATTGTCTGAATTGGTGGAGGGTGATATGAGTATATAGGTCCAAATGAGGGCGTTAGCATTGTTCTTTGTCTGGAAATGCCACTCAACTCTTCATGGAGAGAGAGAAAGAGAGAGGGAGAGGGAGAGGGAAGGAGTAATTCTGTTGTAGTGGTAAAGTGCAGAAAGTTTTGACCTGAAATACTTGGTTTCACTTTCAAGCAAGAAGTGCCAAGCAATGGAAATTTGATCGGCAAGTGGGAACTGGGAACTTGGAAATGGTGTAGAATTCTTGGTGAGAAAGTAAAAAGTCGAAATAATCTTAGTTTGGCTGTACTTTAAACTACAATATAATAGCCACTACAAGTAGAGAAGTGGTTAGATGGAATTGTGGAAGAAGGTTTCTTTAACTAACAGGTCAGAATGATTTCTCACGTTCATTGCCCTTGGCACCGACGAGTTTTTAGGACCTAAAACGACTGAACATAAGAGCTAAAAATCCAGGGCTGCTCAGCTGTTATCCACATTTGACTACCCCACCACAACTTTGTTGCATCCTTAGCTTCGTATAATTAATTCCCATGCCTTATTATTATATACATATAATTTGGGAACGCTTTTGATATCAGCTGACAAGATTTGTTTTGTAACTGTTCTCAACTTATTATTAGTTGACCTTAATTTCGTAATACAATTTGGTGGTTGGTACCGAGTTTGCTATTGTATTATTAAATTTACGCCACTTAATTGCTTGGTTTATTGAATATAAATCATGCATTTGATGTGGACCCTTAATCATCAGTTGACTTAAATTTCATATTTGATTATGCAGGGAAGTTGTTGGAAGTTGGATGTTGGATGCTTGGCACTCTCGGACAGGATTCACGATTTCGATCATGTCAATGAATGAATATATAAAAATTATAGTCTCAAGAAGAAGAAAAAAAAAAAAAAAGAAACTGAGTAAAACAAACGAAACAACGGTGAAAAGTTCTTTCTCCGGGTAAAGATGCTTTGGCATTTGCAGTTGTAGAGTTGGATTTTGTGTCATAATACACTGGAAGGGAAGCCACTGGTGATGCTTGATATCCTCAAAAAAAAAAAAAAAAAAAAAAACCTAGAGAACAGAAAGTATGCTGTTATTTTGTCATAAATACTGTAATTACATGCCATTTTTTTAATTATTTGTGTATGATTCACTGCGTCTTATATATGCATAATGCATGAACAGAGCAACCTTAGAAAAAACCTATCTTCTTCATCGTATCAAGGGTTCTTCTGTTCTTTTTTATTTTGCCTGTTTGTGCCTTAATTCCTTATGAAACAAATTCAAAGCTGCTTTTCCTATTCTTCTTTACCTTGCTGTGCTTCGTAGTGGTTGTATGATTAATAATAATATTAAGGCGGCGGCACGGTTAGCTCGCCGGTCTTTCACATTGGTTGGTGGTGTTCCATTTGTTGGGATGCAATGAATTGTAAATCATGTAATCATCCATTAGAGAATCCTTTGTATTTTTGGCTTTTTCTCGATGTGACAAGTTTGGGTGAAATTATATAAAAGAACTTTTACTCTATCAAAATTTAAAATTTAATTTTTATTTTCATAAAAATTTAATTTTTATATTGTTTTAATTTAATAATTTTTGTTAAATCATTAATTTTGTTTTTTTTTTTTTGTTTTGTTAAAAATGTTGGTTTGGTAATAGCATTGATTTTGTTAACATGATAACTTGTATGAAAGAAATCAATAGTTAAATTATGTAAATATATAAATTATTATTGTATGAGTATGAAATTTAAAATTTAGTTCATTTTGTGAAATAAATTTTGAAATTTAATTTTTTAGTATAAAAATTTAATGTTTTGAATTTTTTTACAAATTTCTAGATTTCTAAAAAATTAAATTTATTCTTTTTTCAATAAGTTTTTTTTTTAATTTCATTTTTTCAAATTTTTTGTTTTTTTCAAAATTTAAAATTTTTATTAAAACAAAATTTTAATTTTATTATTACTGATTTTTAGAATTTTATAAATTTTTTCGTATTTTTAATTTTATTTTTTAAGAAAAATTTTATAATATTTATGTTTTTAAAAAGAGTTTTAAAATTTTAAAATTTTTTACATGTTTTTTTTTATCTTATTTAAGTGAAGAATAAATGAAAATCAGAGGCTTTTTGTGTTTCATTATTTTTTATTGTTTTATTTTAGATTTTTATGCTCTCCTATTTTAAATATATCAAAACAAAACAATTTTAAAGATCCGTGTCTTTTTTATAATTTATTTATTTATTTTATTTATTTTTATTTAAATATTAAAAAATAAAAATTTCTAAGAAAATAAAAAGTAAATAATATAGAAAATTTTATAACAATTCTAAAATTTTAAAAACAAAAATTAAATAAAACATTAAATTTTGAAAAAATAAAAATTTTAAAAATGATTTTTATTTAAAAAATTAAAATATTGAAAAAGTGCATTTAATATTTAAAAAATGAGAAAATTTCTAAAATCTTTAAAATATTGAATTTTTTTAAAATTAAAATATGATTTTAGAAAAATTCAAAAATGTTTTCTAAGAAAATTAAAACATTAAAAAAATTAAATTAATATTTAAAAATATGGAAAATTTCTTAAAAAATTTGAGATTTGATTTCTTTTAAAAAATAAAATATGATTTTTTTTAAAAAGTAAGAAATATTTTTTTATTAGTAATTGTATCAATATTATTAATTTTAATTTGTATGATAATTAATTTTTATAAAATTATACTAAGAGACTAAATTACAAATTTTATGTGCATATAAAAAACATTTTGCATAATTGAAATTGATTTTATCCATCCAAATTGTCAGGTCAATAAATCAAGGTTATGTCAACCAAATTAACATTATTTCATTAAGTCAATGGTTATATCAACATTTTTAGAGATAAAAAATTAATAAATTTAGTAATTTGATTAAAATGATTAAATCTAAATAATATAATAATTAAATTTATATGAATTACAGTATATGAATTAAATTTTACATTTTCGTATAATGTAAGAACCTTTGACATAAGTGAACCTTTAAAATGGTATATGTTAGTTTCAAGACTTGTTTTTTCATGAAGTTGTAGTTGATGATATTTTCCATTGATAACTTCGGTTGTAGTCTTCCCTTCTAAGACTTGATTTATCTTAAAATGAAACCTTCAAAGAACAAAGAAAATGATTTTAAAGCATGCTGTAAATGTTATTTTTTTTTAAACTTATTTCATCTCGATCAGTTATGGTATACAAAAAAAATATAACTAAAATACCTTCAAAATACAATGAAGTTTTATTTGATTTTACTTTGTATTTATGATATTAAATCACTAAACATCCTTTGATGAAAACAAAAATATCAAACTTTAAATATTATTTTTATTGAAATAATATTAAATTAACTAAACTTTATTTGAGAAATAATGAGACAAAAGAGAAAGAGTTTTTAAGTTTATTCAATATTTTTTAACCTATTGAACTTCTTCAAAGGAATACTCATAATCTCTATTTATAGAGCTTAAATTTTAAAGTTGTAACTATTTAATTGTGTTGTTTTAATAAAAAAATATTTTTTTAATAAAAAAAATATTTTTAAATAATTAAAGTTATAATAGTTCATTTGAATAATCATTTTTTTATTTCAATAAAAATCATTTTTCATGTTTCAAAAAATTACAAATTTTAATTTAAGCAGTCGACTACTCCTAAAAGGCAATCAATTGCCTCATTATATTTTTGGTTTTCAGAACGCTCCACTAAACAAGACAATCAATTTCTCTTTATTCTAGAATACTTAAAACTTAAAGCAATCGTTAGAGCAATAAATTCTAACTATAACAGTTGGTTGTTTAAGATAGACGATCAATTACTTCTTTGATAAGTTTTATACCAATATCTTAGTACCTTTTTGGAATTCATAGCAATCAGTTTATTTATTATTGGCAGTCGACTGTTCCTGTAGTATAACATCTTTCATTGATTCTTTTTAAGTTTACAATTAATCTTATTAACCATGAAACATTTATTTGAGCTATCAAACAACTTAAATTTTGATTTTTCTTATGATTAAGTTTTTACTTAATCAAACTAATTTCATATTTTAAAAATATTTTTAACAGTATCATCCTAAATTTGCTAAATATTAGATTTATTGTAGTCTTATATTTAATTAAGTTGTGCTTCTCTATCTATTGTCAATTGATTTTAAATTATTGCTTAATATAATATCAGAGTTTAAATTCTGTTTTGTTATTTTGTCTTGTTACTCTGCCTATTATCCTTTCAAGTTTGTCATGTTGTAAACTTCTATATTCATTTATATGTAATGAGTAGGGTTGGCATCGGGTCAGGTTCAGGGCAGGTTTTGCTCGCCCCGAACCTGATCCTATCAAAATTTTTTTTGTTTTTTCATACCCAAACCCGATCTCGATCTGATACTATATAAATCATACTCGATCCGACTCGAAATTAATAAAATATTATTTTTTAAATATAAATATTTAAAAATATCATTATATAAATATATAAATAAAAAATTAAATAATTAATTAAAAATAATTTTTTATATAATATTGGATCGGGTCGGGTTTGCCTAAAACCCAAACCCGAACCCGATTGTTCTATAACCTTACCCGACCCGACCTGAAACTCGAATTTAAAAAAAAAAAATCGATCTCACAGTGTCGGGTCAAGTCGGAAGCCGTTTGCGACGGGTTAGATTATCATCCCTAGTAATGAGAGTATATTAAAGTGATGTTATTTCATATTTATTAAAATATTATATTTCTTATAATCTTATATTCAAATTAAGTTTTTTCGTTTAATTTTAAATTAGATGCTTAACATATATGAAATTAATCTAAATATAAAAATTATACAATTTAAAATTTTAATAAAAATTGTATATAAATATGTTTACATTATTTTTCCTTAAAAAGTAATGTAACATGTGCAAATAGTAGGTTAATAAAATCTCATATGAATAACTCTTTTTTCTTTTTTTTAAATACATGTGATATTGAACCACATGACAAGAAGTAAAATTTTTCAGTCTCATAATTTTTATCTAACTTATTTAAAATTGGAACTTTAAACTTTCAAAGTAAAGTTTTAAGAGTTTTAATAGATGAAGTGTCTCTGAAAGACTATAATAATCATATTCAAAGGCTAGCTTACATATAATGATAGTGAAATTAGTAATGCCTTTTAATCAAAGTAACTTTTGAGTTAATCTTAACTCAAACTAAGTTGTGGAGTTACTTCACACAATGGCTAATAGCTTAAAATATGTTGAGATGGAATTTTCAAGGCAGCATCTCTTCTATTGAAAGAATTCCTTTCACATATAAATTGGTAGGGATAGGGATATTGAAACCATCCATTATGTTTTTTAAAAAGGAAGTTTACTTAATATTCAAGTCTATTATTATAATGCCCTTTTACCATAGAAAGAGAGCTAGCATGTAGTATTAATCAGTCATTTTCAAATTTGAAATTTAATTTAATTTAATTTAATTAATTTATGTAATTATTTTTAAAAAGTGGTATTCATCATATATTATCTATATATAAAAGTGTTGATTTAAAAAAATACTAAAATTGATAGACTAAAATATTTTTAATAAATTTTTATTTTATATCATATATATAAAAGTGTGAATTTCAAAAATATTAAAAAGATAACAAAATATTCTTAGTGAATTTTTATATAAAATTTAATATATATATTTTTTTATTATTAGATTTTTTATTACTGGAGTTCTATTAAAATAAAAAGTATGATTTTCATATAAAATAAAAATATAAAAATAAAATGAAATTATCCAATGTAAAGCTTTTTAATTTTGAAATATTACTTCTTATATCATAATGAATGCTTTTTTAAAAAATTTAAAATTAAAATTTTTTTTATTATATCTGAATACTTTAATTTTAAGGTACATTAAAAAGACTCTTAATAAGTAAGGGAAGAACAAACTATATTATTGTGGTTTAAAGAAATTATATTTAATCACTTAAGATTTTTTTCATTAAATTTAAAACTAAAATCATTTCATTAAAATTTCTCTTTTATTTTTTTTCTTTATTATATCTTTATTTATTTTTTTTAAATTTCAATCCTTTCAACTTTTAAAGTATTATATTCAGGACGGGAATAATATTTGCTACTGTAGATTTACTTTAAAATTTATGTTATATTGATTTATTTCTAGAACTTATATTTACATTTTTAATTTAATTTAATATTATAATTATTATTTTAATTTCATTACTATAAAAAATATTAAAGTTATTTACTTATATTAATTTATATTATAATTATAACTTAATTAACAATTACGTGCATAACACGTATATTAAAAAATAATATGATTCAAATATTAATACTTATAATTTTATATTAAATTAAAAAAATTAATTATTAAAAATTAATACCTAATTAAAATTCGATATTTCAATTTAAATTTGGGTTGAAAAGAGTTAAAAAATGTATTTAGAGAAAATCATATGTTACCAAAAAAAAAAAAAATCTTAATTGGTTACAAGGTGTCTCCATTGGAACGTTTCCTTTGTATTTTTTCTTTTTCAACACTCCGAGCTTGAGGTGGAGGAAAAAAGTGGACCTAATAATTCAGATTCAAACTAATGAAAAGATAATAAGTGGGTTTGCTACCTTTGGTCAAATCTGGGAAAAAAAAAACAGAACATTTTATCCAAATTTACCCAATTAAAAGAAGAAAAAAAAAAAAAAGAAATTGGGGGATGTGAAATAAGGGAGTGTTTGGAGGATGAAGTGAGAGTGACAAACAATCTAAAGGCGGGTAAGAGGTTGCACGCTTAAGGTAGCAGGGATCCTTTGATTTCCTGTCCAAATAGCAAGTTTCACGAGGGAGTTTTATACTTTTATTTATTTATTTTTTTAGCTTGGGGTGTAAATAAAGAATAGTTTTTATAAAAGATTAAAAATAAATATTTTTGAAAAAAAATTAATAATTATTTATTTTTTTAATATTTTATTATAATCAAATAAATTTTAAAATTTTTATTTTGAATCAATTAAATTATTAAATATTTATTTTTACTTCAATTAAAATTTTGATTAAATGAAAATTGATATTAATGATTGATTAATTTTTGTTTAATAAAAATTCGATCAATAAAATAAATATTTGAAATTTTAATTAATTGTAATAAAATAATAAAATTTAAATAATTATTAAATTTTTATTAAAAGAATTTTTCCTTTAAACAATTTTTAAAATTTTTCTTCATTTTCGGACACCGACAGCTTGGCTTTGCCTTTGATTGATTGAAGCCAACAAGTGAATAGTTGTGCATTACTCTATTAGTCTCGGCTCCTGTCTGGAGCCTTCTCCATCACGTGCCCTGTGTATTTGCCCTCCGCTTTGTTCACTGTAATTACTATATTAAGAAAGCAGTGCTATAATTAAAACCCACCGACAACAGAACTCGATACTTTGGCATTACTATATTTGCCCTGCGATCCCCTCACCTGAACCCAAAAAAAAAAACTTTTTTTTTTTTTTAATTTTTATCTAGGCAAACTCTAAACAGATGGCATTAAGGTAAAAGTAATTCATATATTTATGATTGTAAAATATTAATAATTTAAATATTTATTATTTATATTATATTTTATATAAAGTTTATATATTATAATTTATATTGACATAAGATATATAAAACATAATTTTTATTTTTATTATAAAAATGTTAACTTGTATATTTTTAAATTTTATATTATTTTGACAAGGTACAAGTCATCCTAACAAACTTAACTGTTAACCCTCTAGGGAGGCTTGGCTCTGTCTTTTACTTTGAAGCCGAGCAAAGCAAACTCCTGTCCGGAAAAGTGATAGAACAGGTCTCCTCTTCCTGGCTGTCTCAACTCTAATCAGCCCCAAAGCTGCTTCTCTCTCACCATACCTTGCAAACAAATCTCGCACCAATACAACGCAAATCCCCCATGCCCCAACCCCAAATTTTTTTCTCTTCATCATTTCATTTCCATTGCATTAATAATAACAGTACAATTTTCTTCCTACTTCCTCCTCCTCTTGCCCTTCTGCATTATTTCCAAGTCTTTCCCTTGCCTTTGGCCTGTCCCACTTTTTCTGACTCTTCCCCGAGCAATAATCACCAAACTCACCCTTCCCTGCCATTCACTTCACTTCACTTCTCTCCCTCCCCCTCGACACCCCAACACCAAATTTCCACAATCTTCAAAAATCTCATCTTTGATTTTGGTCAAAGGTTTTTCTTTGTCAGTTTTCTTTGAGCACCATGGATTCTTCCATTTATGGTGTTTCTTCCTCCAAGATTTTCTTTTTCGCCTTCTTTCTTTCGTTTGCCATTGCGGCATTGACTCAAAATCCATCTGGAAAATCCTTTTCTTCATCAGCTTCCGGTCAGATTAACTCAAACTCGGTCCTTGTTGCTCTCCTTGACTCGCATTACACTGAGTTGGCTGAACTCGTTGAGAAAGCATTACTACTCCAAACCCTCGAAGAAGCTGTTGGCAACCACAATATTACCATTTTTGCCCCTCGAAATGAAGCCTTGGAGCGTCAACTGGACCCGGAGTTCAAACGGTTCTTACTTGAACCCGGAAACCTTAAGTCGCTCCAAACCCTTCTAATGTTCCACATTATCCCCAAACGGGTCGGATCCCACCAATGGCCAGACCCCAAAACCGGTCCTGTCAAACACAACACCCTGTCTAACGACCATCTGCAGTTAACTTCCAAATCCACCAGCAAGAAAACTGTGGGGTCAGCCGAGTTGATTCGACCCGACGACGTGATCCGACCCGATGGAGTGATCCACGGGATCCAGCAGCTCCTCATTCCCCGTTCCGTCATAGAAGACTTCAACAAGAGACGTAATCTGGAGTCAATCTCCGCCGTTTTACCTGAGGGTGCGCCAGAAGTGGATCCTCGCACCCACAGGTTGAAGAAGCCAGCGCCAGTGCCAGCTGGAGCACCACCTGTACTCCCGATCTATGACGCGATGGCACCAGGTCCTTCTCTGGCACCGGCACCGGCACCGGGACCTGGCGGACCTCGTCATCATTTTGACGGTGAGAGCCAGGTCAAGGATTTTATCCAAACGTTATTACATTACGGCGGGTATAACGAAATGGCTGATATTCTAGTGAACTTGACTTCTTTAGCAACGGAAATGGGGAGACTGGTTTCTGAAGGATATGTTATAACGGTCTTGGCTCCGAATGATGAAGCCATGGCGAAGCTTACTACTGATCAGTTAAGTGAGCCAGGGGCGCCGGAACAGATTATTTATTACCATATTATTCCTGAGTATCAGACTGAGGAGAGTATGTACAATGCGGTTAGGAGGTTCGGGAAAGTGAGATATGATACGCTGCGTTTGCCGCATAAGGTAGTGGCTCAGGAGGCTGATGGTTCTGTCAAATTTGGGCATGGTGAGGGTTCAGCTTATCTGTTTGATCCGGATATTTATACAGATGGGAGGATTTCGGTTCAGGGGATTGATGGGGTTTTGTTCCCGGAGGAAGAGATTGAGCCTGTTATGAAACCAGCTGCTGTCAAGGTCTCCTCCAAGCCCAGAAGAGGTATGTTCTTTTTCTTGTAGTTTTATTAATTCTTTAACTTTTTTGGTTAATCGGTCAGGTTATCCAGTTAATTAATTTTTGTTCGGAAATAAATTCAATAATTGGGCAACTTTGAGATTGTGGTTGGTTTGGTTTTAGATTTTAGTATTTAGATTAGAAATTAATGGAGTTTAAAAGAGAATGAAAAGAATGGGAAGTTGGAAAGTGGTATGGAATTGCTTCAGGTTGAGGAAGTAACTATTAAGTTAGAACTTGGATGGTGTTATTTTGATGATTGATGTTTTTGGTGGTGGTGGGGCTGATGAGAATCCTGGAATACGCATATAATTTGGTCTCTTTTTGATGATGGTGGTTTTGTCTATGTAGTCTATGGAAAGGAAAGCTGTGAGCTACCTTTGCTTAAGCATTACAGAAATGAGACAATAACATCGTGCCATGTTAAAGAATGATTCGATGATGTGATTAATTGTCTGAATTGGTGGAGGGTGATACAAGTATAGGTCCATATGGGGGCATTGGCATTGTTCTTTGTCTGGAAATGCCTCTCAACTCTTAATGGGGAGAGAGAGAGAGAGGGGAGGAGTAAATCTGTTGTAGTGGTAAAGGGCAGAAAGTTTTGACCTGAAATACTTGGTTTCACTTTCGAGTAAGAATTGCCAAGCAACGGAATTTTGGTTGGCAAGTGGGAAGTGGAACTTGGAAATGGTGTAGAATTCTTGGTGAGAAAGTAAAAAGTCGAGATAATCTTAAGTGTTGCCCTGCTTTAAACTACAATATAATAGTCATTACAAGTAGAGAAGTGGTTAATGGAATGGTGGAAGAAGGTTCTTTAACTAATACGTCAGCATTGTTTCTCAAGTTCATTGCCCTTGACACCGACGAGTTCATGTGACCAAAAATGTCTAAACATGAGTTAAAAATCCAGGGCTGCCCTCCTGTCAGCCACTTTGGACTACACTACCACAACTTTGTTGCCAACATTAGCGTTACATATAATTAATTCCCATGCCTTATTGTTATATACTTCTCTTATCATTAGGAAATGCTTTTGCTATCGGCTGGCAAGATTTGTTTTGTAATTGTTTTCTACTTATTACTATTATTATTATTATTATTATTGTTATTATCTGACCTTAGTTTTATATTACAGTTTTGTGGCTGGTACCGAGTTTGGCTATAAAACACTCGATTTAAGCCACTTAATTGCTTGGTTTATTAAATCTAAATTATGCACGCTATGCCGACGCTTGATCGTGAGTTGATGTAAGTTTGTGTTTCATATTTTGATTACGCAGGGAAATTGTTGGAAGTTGGATGTTGGATGCTTGGCACTCTCGGACAGGATTCACGATTTCAATCATGTTAATGAATGAATATATAAAAATTATAGTCTCAAGAAGGGAAGAAAAAGGAAAAGAAACTGAAACAAAGGTGAACAGTACTTTCTTGGTGTAAAGATGGTTTATCATTTGCAGTTGTACAGTTAGATTTTGTCTCATAATACACTGGAAAGGAGGCACCTGGTGATGCTTGATATCCTCAAAAGAAAAAAAAAAAAAATCCTCAGAGAAGAGAAAGCTTGCTGATATTTTGTCATAAATACTGTAATTACATACCATTTTTTTATTATTTTTTGTGTATGATTCACTATCTTATATATATGCATACGGTATGAACAACCACTTTCGAAAAAACCCATCTGCTTCATTGTATCAAGGGTTATTCTGTTGTATTTGCCTGAATCAAATTCAAAGCCGCTTTTTGTAGTCTTGTTGAGTTACTTTGCTATGCTTGGCAGTGGTTGCCTGGATGATGATGATGATGATGATGATCATAATAATAATAAGACAGCGTAGCTGGTCTTTTTCATTGGTTGGTGTTCCTTTTGTCTTTATGCAATGAAATGGTACATCAATTATTGATTAATGTTTCAAGAGAACCCTTTGGAGATTTGGCAATTTTCAAGTAATCTGTGAGATAGATTTCGAGCTTATTAGGCTTTTCCGCATGCTTTCCCTGTAATGTGAAATCTTTGGCTATGAATTAGGCTTTTTTTTACCTTCGACACAATTTTATTTAGGCGTGAGGGGGCTGGGGGAAAGACCAAAACCAACGGAACATGGAGTGTTGCTTGACGGATGGATAGTCAATGATACAGCCTGTAGACTTTGGCGTGGCTGTGAAAATTAAATCATTGCCACCCACCCCGTCCCAACTCAATATAAATCAAGGCTAAATGCAGTTTAGGTTCAGACATAAACCAGCTCTCATTGGTATAAAAAGATGTTTACCTTATTTTTTCCTAATAAATAATGTAACATGTGCTAATCAAATCTCATATGAACAATATTGGAAATATTTTTTTGGTGCATATGATCGAATCACAAAATAAGAGGTAATTTTTGTTTGATTTTTTAAATTTCATCTCGTTTATTTTAAAATTTGAACTTTAAACTTTAAGTTTAATCGTTGAAATATCTGTTCAAAACTATTACAATAATCCTATTCTAATTTCATAACAATAAGGGCTAGCTCATAGATAATAGCAGATAAGTTAACAAATTCTAAAATCAGTAATGCCTTTGATTCAAAGTAACGTTTGAAGTATTCTAAACTCAAAGTATGCTGTGAAGGAACTTCACACAATGGTTAATAGCTCAAAGTTTGTTGAGATCAAATTTTCAAATCAGCATCTCTTTTATAAATTGAAAAAATTCCTGTCACATATGGATCGGTAAGGATAGGGATTTTAATTGACAGTTGAAACCATGCACTATGCTTTTCAAAAAGGAACTTTACTTGGCATTCAAGTCTGTTATTATAATCCCCTTTTACCATAGAAGTAGAGCAAGCATGTAGTATTAACTAGTTGTTTTTCATGGAGTCTAGGTCTAAATTTGATATTTCAACTTAAAAATTTTGAGTTCGAAAAGCGTTAGAAATTTGGTATAATATTGAATTTATTAATTCCGATGATCAAATATCTAATCTTGACAGCATGAAATAAAAAAAAAGTTGGAAATGTATTTAAATAAAATCATCTGTACCGAAGAATTGTCTTAATTGGTTACAAGTTAGATCCATTGAAAAACCATTGATCAATCCTTACGTTTCCTTTGTTTTTTGCTTTTTCGACACTTTGAGCTAGAGGCGGGGGAAATAGTGGGGTTGCTGACTTTAATCAAAGCTGGGAAAAAAAAATTACAGATTACAATTGAAAAAGTTGAAAATAAAAATTCGGAGTCATCTTCCCTAGTTTGAGCTTCTCAAGGCATTGCAAGGGATTTTATAACATGGGATTTTTTTTTTTTTTTGACCATAGCAGGTGTGAATTAACAATTTGTACATTTATTTTATAAATTTGTTTTGTGAGGACGATGGCTCTATGTTTTCCCTTCTTTATATGGTGACAAAAAGTAGTGATGTTTATAAGTTTTTATCTTTTGGAAGACTTGATCAAGTGACTAACTCTCATGGATGCAATTACTCCAAAAGTTGAACAGTTTATGGTTTTATATATTCTGAATTTAGTTCAAAGAAATGGATAACAATTCATCTTGTCCATATTCAGACTGATGGAACCATTCTTATCTTTTTCTTGAAGAAGATTGGGGTTTAAAATTGGAATTCAACATCTTCCCTTACAGTAATAGCAGTAGCTAAAGGTTTACAATAGCATAAGAAATGAGGACAAAGATAGCAGCAGGAGATAAAATTGACATTAACCAACAGTTATGTGGTTTATTTGTAAACTAAAGAACTTTTAGTTTCAGAGATCAGTCCCTACAGCTTCAGGTATTAAAGAAAAAAAACATAAAAGTTGTAGTTGAAGGCACTAAAAATCAACTACCAAGTCCCAAGATTGATTCCCAAGCAAGCATTCTCTTGATTTATACATCTTCTCAGAATGGCGTCTCCATCACAGGGAATTACACCACTACTTAGTTACAGGTTCTAATGAAACCAACTTTTGCTTGACAGCAATTTAGATTGCTTTGCAAGTGAAAGAAAAAGTTTCACCATTTTTGGCCTGGTAATTTCTTAAAAAAGTGCTGGAATTGCCACAAAAGGTGTGCAATTTATCTTTATCTTAGACTCCTATTTGTGCGTGACTAATCCTGGAATAGAAGGGGAAAATGGGGCAGATCCTGAATTAGCCTGAATATCATGAGCTATCTAAAGCTAATGAGAAAACTGGAAACAAGCCATCCTAGGCCAAGTGAACAAGTATCGTCGGCTAATTGAAGATAATATACTTGAAGGCTATTACAAGTTATATGCCAGTCATATGATAGACAGCGCTTAAGAGCAAAGATAGTGCGATGTTTACGTCGCCAACAGACACATTTTGCCTAATAATTAGAAAGATAGAGAATCCTACCAAACACTTTCAATAGAATTTAATAAAGGAAACATGATTGCAATAACCTTTTGATGCATATGTAACTTATAATGTGTATAGTAACCATCCAAAAAGAATGTCATGATCAACTTACAAATACCATTCACAACAGCAGGAAATTTGAAGCCAAAAAGATGAACATATAAACAAATGGCCTGAGAATCACGATCTTCAACCTCCAACTGTGATTTGACGGGGCATAATCTCAACAGGATAATTCTGGTTGTCTTCAGGTTTCCCAACACAAGCATCCTGCACAGGGTTCTCCACCTTGCCTGTCTTTGCTTTTGTCTTTCCAGGCTTTTCTTGAAATTTGGTGATCTCCTTAGATTGAAGCTTAGGTTGGGATTTCTTTACAGCCTTCTTGGAAGCAGCATTATCTTCATTAACATTGATTTGAGTTCTTTTGGTTGAACCATTCTGTTCTTGGTTCAAAGATGATCTAACACTAGAACCATCACCACCTGAAGGGTTGTTTGTTGCAGCAACACTGCTCTTGTGCCTTCCAAGCTTTGGGGGTTTTGCACGCGTAGCTGGTATCTATGACAATTACAGTAAATATTAGATGATTATCGCACAGTTGAATGGAAGAAAGCACAATAAAGGAAGAGAGAAACATAAAATGCAGTAAGAACAATCAATTTGATCCATTTCTAAGAGTCTAACTATGTGTATGTTTGCCCTTACATTTTAGGGTTTAGGCTCTCAGGTTGGTACCTACGTGTATAATTTGCCCATATATTTGCATATTAAAAAAAAGGCTGCTCAGGTTGGCAGATACCCTTGTCAATATCACCTCATGAAAATGTAGCTAGATTTCTGGTCATCTATTAGATAGTTAAAAAAGAGAAACAGTCACCTGATGCTGGACAAGAGGGGAGACTCATTTCTAATCCTCTTTACAGCAAATACAGATGATATCTTTCCTAACTACATGACTACATTGTCATTGTGTGTGTTAAACTGCTTCATGGAGAGATAAAGCTCTCAGGTTTAGTGAGAAAATGCATCTTTTTTAAGAATGTTTCAAAGATAAAGTAGAAGGGTAAAAAAATCATAATTGTTTTGTGCTGACTAAAAGTTCTCCTGATCAAGCAAAGCTACCTAATATGCCAGAGCATTAACTTCAGTCAAAGACAAAACCTTTAATAGTGCAGTTAAACACCCTGCAAGGTTTTAAATATTTTCTTCACCTACAGCTATTTTTATCTTAACACCAGCCTTTTTCTCAACCTTCAAAAAGGAAAACAAATGAATGATAATTGATAAGATTGTAGTTTCAAATCCTTCATGGTGTAATAGTATAACAATTCAACGTTTAAGGTATGGAATATCAACTGTACCACAAAAAAAAGGTATAGAATATCACAATATCAGCATCATTCTACATAACAATTATTAAATCCAATGATAAAGAAGCAGGCATATTCAAAATGTTCTAACAATGATGATGTGGTTTCAGAGAGCATAAATGGGTATGGCACAGAAATTAAAAGTTTCAGACAGAAGAATATATGCCAGCAGGAAATAGTAATAAAGAAAAAAAAAGCAATTACCTTCTTTAGTTCAACTTTTGCAGGAGGTTCTTTGTAGAAACTAGGCATTGGTGCAGCTTTAAAAGTCAAGCTTTTCCTTAGTTGCTTGATTTCTGCCTCCTGGTTCTCCTGCATGATGCAACAAACTATAAAATTTATCAAATGCCAGGCCATTATGAATTGAAGCAGAAAATTTGAAAAAATATAATTACTTGATAGAGAAAAAAAAAGAGGAAAAAGATGCTCATTCAAGTAATAGTTACAGAGAAAAGTCATTGCCGAGACCTTTGATTTTGCCTGGAAGTTATTTCTTTCAACTTCCTCAGCATGGATCTTCTCTTCTAGCTTAAAAAAAAACTGGTGAAGTTCATGAAACAATTACTTATATGCTTAAAACATAATTAAGGCTATCAATGGAATAATGGATTGATGCACATATCCAACCTCCTTTCTCTTTTCAGCACGGTCCTCCAACCTGAAGGTGAATCCTAACGCACTAATTCTTCTAGTGCTAAGAGAAGTGGCATTGCTAATAATTAAGAACAAAAATCACAGACATATCAGTTGAAATGGAGTAATTAATAGAAGGACTTGCATAACAAATGAAGTTAAAAGTAATGACAATACGAAGTAGTGGAATGGGAATCATCATCCTCTTTGCTCAGCAGTGCAGCTGTTATCGGCTTTGTATCGGCTGATCTGCGATCACAGAAGGTATGTCCACATTATAATTAAGTCGGCAAAATTGAACTTATGAGTTATATCTTTCAGTTGTTTCCCCTCTGTTTATTTGAATCCCCCCATCCCACCCCCTTTTTTTTGTTTTGTTTTGTGGTGGAGTTGGGACATTGAATGAACGAGCAAAGAGATTCTGCATTTTTGAGCGAATTTAACATAAATATAAATGCATTACAGTAAATGCACAACCAAAGTAGACTTACTCGGAGGATGGAGGGGACTTAGCAGCTACATTTCCTGGACCAGATTTAGCAGGCTGATAACCAAAGATAAATATCAAAGAGAGGTACTTGGAAAACCACAAAGAATAAAGAAAAGAAGAGAAATGATACTACAAAACCATACCACTGGTTGCCTATTGGTAGGCAAAGATGATGAAGTAGTCCCCCTGGCAGTAACTCCACCATCATTAATATTTGCCGGATTTGAGTTCAGATTGACGGATCCACGCCTGTTGGTATGATTCAAACGGGACAATGAAGGAACCGATCCATAGGAAGAAGGAGCCTGAACTTTTGTGCCTTTATCTTGAGCATATTTGAGATCAGTTTTCTGCGGATATCCATCAATGCTCTTCATAAGAGCATCGGCATGGACTCTTCTTGCCGGAAATGAAAGACTCTGGGACAGCACAGGCCTTTGATTACGAGAAATTGGTACTGCACTTCTCAGATTAGATTTATCCTTTGTCACCTTACTGCTCTTTGAATTACCAGCAGTCAGCTTACCAGGTTCCTACACATAGAAACAGACAAAATACACATTAAAAAAAGGGGGAAAATGGAATATTTGAACTGCAAGAAATTATGTAAGTGATCAACACCAATAGAACAGCTTGAATGTATGGTACGTCTACCTTTAAAGGTTTTGAGATTTTACTTTTGGAGACAATTGTAGCAGCTTTACTTGCCACGCCTTTAGATTTTGTTCCCTTCTTGCAAGCTTCCTTCAAATTTGGAGCCCCTTCGCGATTAATATCAGCATTCTGTCCCTCTTTCTTTGCTTCTATAGCAGATTCTTCCACATCTGTTCTTTCACTGACAATTCTCTTTTCTTCCAGTGTTACCCCGTTTTCAGACTCCATCATACAGCGAAGGACGAAAATTTCCTAGAAAATCACAAGTGAAAATCATCAGCACCAACTTAAAATGACATAAGAAAGTGCTTTAGACAAAATTAATGACAAATCTAAATTAGATTGTGAGACTAAAAAATTCAACAAAATCTAGCTTTAATGAGTGATCATTGTATGGAATCTAAATGGCACATATTTTCCTTTCTTCCGTTCTCTCCTCAAAAATGCAAAATCTGGTTAAACTTTAACCAAAACCAGAGAGACAAACCAATTGAACAACAATGATCCAACTAAAATTCTACAATTAAATCACCAGCTAACTAACCAAAAAAAAAAAAAAACCCACAAGTCAAAAACCAAAGATTTGTGAATATAACCAGAAAAAAATCCCATAAATTCAAAGAAATGAAGAGAAAGCAAAGCTTAGAAATTTTATAGAGCAAATTACCTTGATTACAAGAGTTTAGACTCAAGAGAACTGAAATGCAAAAGGTCTGAAAAGCAAATTAAGAAAGCACTGAATTTGATTAAAAAAAAAAAGAAACTTGAAAGTTTAACAAAGAAGTGACAAAATCTGAAACTAAGAGCTATAAAGATCCAAACTGGGTTTTCAGAGGCTCAGTGACACTCTATTTCCTGCAAAGGAGTGGCTTTGGAATGTTTCAGACGCGAGAGAGTGTGTGTATGTATAAAGTAGGACGAGCTTTTCAATGACATGGATAGAAAGATTGATGAACTGTAAAGCCAAATTCAAGCTTTTAAGTAATGTGGTGGGTAGTCTCTTGCAACCAAATTCAAGCTTTTAATTACCATTTTTCGAATTCTGAATCAAAATGGAGGGAATGGAATGAAATGAAATTCAAGAGCATTTGCAGTATTAATAAATAAATTCCATAGAACAGAGTCTTGTCCAGATAATAATAATAATAATAATAATAATAATAATAATAATAATTTTTAGATAATTTTTGTCTACGACCAAAGTTAGTTATCTTTATGTTTTCTTTAGATAAATGAAATCTATAAATTTAAAAATATTGGACATTTAAAATTAACTAAAAAAATGAAGAACTATGATTTTCGTTTTTTGATTTCCCTTAGCAATGTATGTTTCTCATTTTCAGGATTCAGATCAGAACTGGCTGCATCCAATTAGAAAAGGTCAAGTCAAGTTTTATTGTGACAAAGGGGTCGTGGGGTATGGTACAACCAAGATATGCCCAATCATCTTCCACAACGGATAACACAATCATCTTCATCCCTAAAAATTTTTTTTTCTTATGTTCTAAAATGATATTTAAATAATTAATTTATCATCTTCTCCTCCAACAATTCCAATGTCCAAAAGTAAAGTTGAAATCGATTATATTTTGTTTTAGCAGCGGGGAAGAAATTCTATAACTTCAAGATAATAGATTTAAGTTTTATCACATGTTATTTTTGTTTAAATTTAAAAAATTATGATAATAGATTGAATATAAAATTTGATAATTTATATATTTATATAATATAAAATATTAATAATTCATATATTTATATCGTATTTTATATAAAAATTATGTGTTATCGATAAAAAAAATATAAAAATATATATTTATTTTTATTACACTTATATTTGATTTTTATTAAAATTTTAATTTACATTATTTTTTATTTTTAAAATTTTAATTCATATTATTTTTATATCGTATCATCATCGTATCGCATTTCAAATTAATATATGTAAATGTGTAATTAAACAAGATTTGATCTACTCACCTAAGTCACCAATTAGAGTTAGAATTATAGCATCCTAACTTTAAATAAATGGCTCCTTATATCCTTTCAACACCTAATTCTTCCATAATTAGTGGCTTAAGCAAGGCCATTTTTAGATTAGTCCAGCAAAAACAAAATTCATTGCTTAAAAATGGGTTAAGGGCCAAACCCTCGTCTTACAACCAACCCAAAGATTGAACAGAAAAGGGAAAAACACAAGACACTGTTGGAGAACCAAAAACAAAAAAAAAAAAAAGGCCTCCACTGTAAGCTGAGTTTTTAAACATTTGGTAGCAATTCTGATCGTCATTTGAGAATCTGATGCAAATCTGAATTAGACATTTGTAGCATTGAAATGGATGAAAATTAGAAGAACATAAGCCAATGCAGGGAAGCATAATTATATACAACATTTCAGGCAAAAGAACAAATAAGAAAACTCAATTCTGGTTACCAAAGGGAATGCCTGAGTAAATGATGATCCTCAAACAGTTTGAAGAGCTAAACTCTAAAAAATTTGAAAAGAAAAAAAAAAAAAAACTAAAGAAAAGGCCCTGGGTGACTATATCTTCTTGTCAACAAACTGGCAATACCTCCCTAAATCCAATGCTAAAACCTTTCCCCTGACCACCTTTGTTACCAAATTCAGGGTTGCCTTTCTGCATCATGGCTACAAATTCATTGTAATCTATCCGGCCATCCTGAAAAATATAAAAGATACGACACGAAAATGAGTCCATCATGAAAACTCATTCAGGAGAAATTGATTGAAAACACACAGGTTCGTGCATCTAAATCTTACGTTGTCCTGATCAACTTCTCTCATCATTTCATCCAGGCGGATATCTTCAATGCCAAATTCTTGACAAGCTTTTTGAATCTCATCTTGTGTGATGTAGCCACTGCCATCTCTGTCGAAATACGAGAAGGCTGCCAAGAGATGATCTTCCCTCTCAACCTTGTTTAGATGCAATGTTGCAGCTATGAACTCTTCATAATCAATTGTACCACTATTATTAACGTCTGCCTGCGTTTTCGGAACAAACAAAAGATTCAAAAGGAGGTTAATTGGATTAGGAGGGATGTACAAACAGCATGATATAGATAAACAACAGCAATTTCAATTAAAGAATCAACTTATTCAACAATTTGATGGAGCATTAATCATTTCAAATTAGTATGATAAAGCCATTGATTTATTTTAGTTTTTACTATAGGACTTCTGAGTCGGGGATTCTGAAAAGAAACTTACAGCCTGCATTAGTGCATGGAATTCTGTCTCAGCAAGATTAGCACCAAATCTTTTCAATCCAGTTTTGAGTTCTTCATAGGTGATTTGACCACTATTGTCTGTGTCTATCATCTTGAACATTTCCTTCAACCCGGCGATTTCTTCTTCAGAAAGTCTCTGTGCAATGACCTAAAAAGAATGAAAGAAAATAAATGAAAAAGGAGCTGGGAACAAGGATAAGTCGTGTTAGCTAGTGGGATTTGCGCATTGAAAGACTTTCACTGAATCAGTTATCTTTTCAGAAGTTTTAGAGACCCATGTTTGGAAGAGATAGGCCTATGTTTCACTGGCAGAAACTTACTCTAAGGGCCATTTTCTTGAGCTTGTTCATTGCAGAAAATTCCTTCATGCGGCTTAGTACTACAGAATCAAGTGGCTTGTCCGGAGCCACCCCATCAACCTGAATCCAAGGATGGCCTGCAAGGAACCTAAATCCTCAAATTCCATAGTGAAACAGCAAAAAGTCATCTAGCTTATCAAATAGTTTTCAGAATTCTGATAATTAGTATTCTTTCACATTTTGTCCCTATAGCAACCCAACTGCATAATCTGGTCCTTCATACCAACTACTCCCCCATAACAATGGTGAACAAAGATGATAATTTGGATTAGTAACATAAGAAATTATTGCATGCCAGATGAACCTAAAGCTATTAATAACCAACTAAATACAAGAAAAAGATAAAAAAAGAACACCAACTGAGAATTCAAACAGCCTCTCAATTATTTTATCAACATCTACTTCTCTATTACTTATCTCAGCAAACATAGTAAATGTGACTTACGCAGTACTTCGTGTGCTGTTATCCGCTTTGTGGCATCTCTGACAAGCATTTTCCTCAATAGATCTTTTGCACTTTCAGAAATACTAGGCCAGGGATCAGATGTGAAGTCAAGATCACCATGCAAAACCTCATCAAATATTTCTTGTTCAGTTTCTATATCAAAAAGCACAGATAGAACAAATGTTAAAAATAATTGCCAAATGTACAGAGTCCAACAAGAAAAATCAGATATTATCTTAAAATTTTCAATAATAGAAATGACATCTTATTCTGATGAACTCTTACCACCCCAAAATGGAGGAACCCCACTTAAGAGAATGTAAATGATCACCCCAGCACTCCAGACATCTGCTTCTGGACCATAAAGTTTGCGCAAAACATCAGGTGCAACATAGTATGGGCTTCCAACAACATCAGATAAGATATCCCCTGAAATTTTAAGAAAACAACACAGGTGATTGCACAGATAGCTTGACAACATTGTTGAAAAGTCTCTAATTTCTATTTCCTATAAATGAAATGGATTTACAAGTCAATCAAGAATACTAATTCAAGTCGGGGAAGAATTGCACTGCATTTATTAAAGGAAGTTGTTTACAAATATTTATTAGTGTTTTACTTTCTTTCTTTTTTCTTTTTGATAGGAATAGGACTTATTTGCTTGTTATAATTTCTGAATTCATTTGCTACATTTAGTCAATTATTGAAGACGTGGAGTTAAAGATTGCAATCGAAAACTAATCTCAGTCAAATCTAAACTGTCATAATTCCAATGAAGAATACCAGCATCCAACCAATAATTTTTCCACAATGTTCCATCCTATCCAACTTGACAACTATTTGTCCAGTTTGAATCAAAGCAAGCATGGTAGAAAACTGAAATGCGTACAATCAAAGGCATTCCATTTGAAATTGACTGGAAAAATTGTATGACACGGATTACCAAAACGTATCAAACACTTGCTTACCAAAGTGGTTTTAGCATATTCTGTTCCTTAAAGTCAAGGAGTTCAATAGTAGTTGTGGGTTCATACCAATTAATAGTACTTGAAATTCCTTCACTTTTAAATGAAGTTTAATTATAACCTAAAGAGGGGAAATTTGAGAATGATTCTTAAGCTTAAATTCAACTCATATGCACCTAGATATGTTTACCACAAAGATCCAGGAATGAGGGTAAGGCTGAAGCAATCTTTCAGAGTTTCTAGGACTGTGAGCTAAAAGTTTATGTTAATTGAAATTGGAAAATAATAAACAAGAGATTCAAAGCAGAACAGCAATTAAGAATGGACTCAAGGAAAAGCACTAACACAAGCAAGAAATCCCAAATGAAAGAGAAAAGCTTTTTGAACATACCAGGCCTGAAGAATATTGATAATCCAAAATCAATGGCTTTAAGGGGTGAATCCTCCTCCTCATTCACAAAAAGAAAATTTTCAGGCTTAAGATCCCTATGCATTACTCCCATGGAGTGGCAGGTTTCTACAACACCAACTATAGTCCTTGCTAGTTCAGCTGCCTTTCTTTCGGTATAATGCCCTCTCTTTACAATCCTATCGAAAAGTTCTCCCCCTTCACACAACTCCATGACAACATGAACTGCCGCAGAATCCTCATAAGCCCCTTTGATGGAGATAACATTAGGGTGGCCTGCCAAGTGATGCATTATCTGAATTTCCCTCCTCACATCATCAACATCATCTAGAGTTGTCAGTTTCCTTTTGGCAATAGATTTACATGCAAACTCCTTCCCGGTACCTTTCTCCACACAAAGAAAAGTTGTCCCAAATTGACCATGCCCTAGCTTCCTCCCCAAGTTATAGTATTCCTTCAAATGACCTGTTTTGGTTTGCAACACTGACTCTATCTGCAGCCCTGCACATGCCTGCCTCTTAACATTATGTGGCTTCCGGCGTTTTCCAGGCTCTAACTTAGTCTCTTCCTTGTTATATGTTGCAAGCTGTGATGGTTTGGAGTTAAGTCTTTGAGGATTACACTTTGATTGTTGTCTTTGGATCTCTTCTTGAGATTTCCCTTGTTGTTCCCTTCTTGTCTCTTCCTTAACAATCTTCATTTCTTCCGGGGGCTGGTTTCGAACAGAAGCACCTTCTGCCTCTTGACTTTCAGACAGATCAGCTTCATTGCCGATTTGTTTTTTTTCCTCATTTGCAACTTCTGCTGTTCGAGGCCACCAAATGGCATTTGAGATTGTTTGAAAGAGTCCATCTTTCCTTAATGTAAGACAAGTATTTCCCATCTGAAACTACTCTCAATTCTCACACTTTTTCTTCTATAAACATCTAAGAGATCTAAAACCACCCAAATGCTATAACCCTATTTCTTCTCTCCCTAAAGGGTGCTATTCTTTTAAAAGATAGCATAAAAAAATGGAGCTTTAGCCAATCTAAACCACCCCTACACCTTTACAAAAAACACAATGCAACCAACACCAATGATTCAATGATCAATGATCAATGATCAATGTAAAGCATCAAAAAGAAGAATTATCGCTCTAAAAAAATTCATCAAAAGTACAAAATTGGAATCTTTAAAGACTTTTAATATACCTTTCAATCTAAAAAATTTCATACATAAATACAATACAATGATCAATGATCATTATTAAAAAAAAAAAAGGAAGAAGAAACTTCCAAGAACCCAATGTAAATAAACAACCACAATTGAAAATTTCAAAGTCAAAACAATGAATTGAAATCATAAACAATGGGAAAGTTATAAAAAGAAAAATGATTAAACCAGTAGACGCAGGATAAATGAAGAAAAAAAGGGCTATTTCTTTGTGAGGTAGGATTTGATGTTTTTGGTATTACCAGGTGTATATATATATATATATATATATATATATATATATATGAGAAAAAATGTATTTATTAGGGTTTTGATTTTTTTTTCTGCCTTTTGTGTTTTTATTTATTTATTTTTTGTCTGTTTCACCATTCAATATGGAAAGAAAATCAAAGGAAAGAGAAAGAAAATGAAAAAAAAGGCAGGTTTTTCCGTTAGAATGCTTCAAATTTTTGCGCGTTTAAATTGGTTCTAGTGAGGTGTATCTCACGACCAGTGAGGTTTCAGTGCTTATCACATCATGATTGTTGGTCCGCGCAGTGATTGACGGTTGAGAAATTTTTTGTAATTTCTTGCCTGTTTTTTCGGTTTTTGACATTTGTTACATGGCCGGCATTGTGGAGTTTCGGGTTGGTCGACCGGTCTCTAATTCACTCAGCAGCCGGCCTGATCCGGTTTCTTTCTTTTTTCTTTTTAAATCTCCATTAATTAAAGGTTATTTTTATTATCTAATGCTGAATTAAAACAACTGGTCATGCTTACCATTTCTATTTATTCATAATTTGATTGGTTAACAATAAATTACGACTCTTAACACACATTCTTGCTGTGAATATAGATAAAAAAAAATGGAGATTTATGATAATTTAAAACATGAGAAAGTGGTTATTTCAAAAAAAAAAAAGAAAATAATATATTTACAAGACTATGTTATGTTCTATACATGCATGCATGAATTAATTTATTTATTTATGATTTATAGGTAATGATCTTTACAAGTAAATTTGGAATATTTTTATTAATAAAGCTTGAATTAAAATAATTTGTTGAGTTTGAAATTTAATTCAATTAAATTATATAAATATCATTATTAGATAATATCTAGAAATTTTGATATTCAAATCGTAATTTTTTATTTATCCATCATATTATAGCCCATTTAAAAAATAAATAAAATAATTTGTTAAAAAGAATCAAACTCAAAAACATATAAATATAGGTCATGTCCCTGCATTTCACAGTTTTATTATTAAACTCATTTATGTAGTCGATATTTTTACTTCACAATATTAAAAAAAAAAAAACCCTTATTCTCCCCTTCTTACTTTTCAAAGAGAATAAGGCTAAGCAATGTTTTGAATGAATGACTTGAGGCAGCTCGACGTCAGAAAAGAGAAAAAAAAGTTTGAATGTGTTACCTTTCAAAAATTAGTTATTGAGAAAGAAAAAAAAAAAAAGAAAAGGAAAAATTATCCGATCCAAAACAGTGAATTTCTTCTTAAAACCCTCACTCTTGGATTGACGTGTGGATTACATAAATTGAATTCCACGGCAAACCAAAATCAACAAATCAGCAAAAAGCCAAAATGGCCATTGCTGCCATTACAATGGGTTAAGTAAGCCAGTGCTTTAATTGGTCATCACTGCCATTACCTCATTTCAATTCAAAATCAGAGTATACCTTCTCAACCAAAGATTTATATTGAATTTATGAATTGTTGATCAAAAGAGGCAGCTGAACTAGTTTTTCTTTGAAAGAATAAGAACGTCTTTATTATGGTATATACAAAACTCTATAAGCCATTTACCACTACAATTCTTTGGTAGGCTGCCGTCGTAAAAGCTTACAAGAAAACTTCAAGCATCAAGCCCTATGCACCTAATCCTAGAATGATATCTGTTTAAAAGATCCAACCAACTCGTGTTTATACACTTCAAACAAGTTTATGTTTTGGAACAATCAGAAACGATCAAAAGAGGCTGCCGGCAGCTGAACTAGTCTTTCTTTGAAAGAATAAGAACATCTTCACTATGGTATATACAAAACTCTATAAGCCATTTACGACTTCAATTCTTTGGTAGGCTGCCGTCGCAAAAGCTTGCAAGAAAACTTCAAGCATCAAGCCCTATAAGCCTAATCCTAGAATGATATCTGTTTAAAAGATCCAATCACCTTGAGTTTATACACTTCAAACATGTTTATGTTTTGGAACAATCAGAAACGGCAGGGATCAATTCAACTAATCAAAAACCATAATGCCTGGAGATGAATCTGAAATGCACAAAATCCTTGTCACCTAGCATTCAAAAAGTAACATTCCATTCTGATAGGTATAATAAGTTTCTCTCTATTGCATTCTAAAGAAAGAAAATTGAAGAAGAAAAGGAGGCCGGCTCCTTGAGAAAACTTCAAACATCTTTAGCTAAGCCAGACAAGTCAACATGCCCAGATTCATCAGGTTTAGGAGAGGCTTCCTTCTGAGGATGGCTTTCAAAGGGTATTCCTCGCCTTACAGATGGTGGTGATGAAGATCCCCTGCCATAAAAATCTCCAAAAGCATCAAAGAAACTATTTTTCATCTCCTCAGCAGCATCAAAGAAACGATTAACCCCACCAAAAAAGCGGCGTTCAATTTCCTCCATGTCACTACGCAGCCCAGGAAAATCAAATGTACCTTCCACATGTGATTCCGACGAGAGATTCCCTTTTAGCACTTGCTCTGTGACATCTTCTTCAGTGTACTCTTTGTTCGATTGCAGGACCTCAAGAGGCCTAATTTAAATATGCAGAAACATTCAGTGACAAATAAATCACATACAGTGATCAAGCAAAAGAAGGAATGAAAAAGATGCAGTTAACATTATAACTTCTTGTACCCAACTCAACATAAATGACAGAATAGACCATTTCAAAAAGATATTAACCATTTGTACCAAAAAGAGGGATATTAGCCATTTCTACCAAAGTTTTCCAGCAGTCTCCACAATGAATAATAAACCATTGTAGGAACCATGCAAGAATGACATGAGAAGAAAAGAAACATAGTGCAATGAACTAGTAGCATCAGCGATCATACAGAACAAATTAAATAAAAAAAAAAATTGTACTCTATCCTTCTTGGAGCAACATTAATTTGATGGATACACAAGCATGTATTAAATAGATCAATTATGTTATTTTCAATTTTATTCAATTTTCTACTGATGTGAAAACAGTTCGGGTAGTTAGACATAACAATATACCATTGTCTCAACAAACCCTCCGCATGCCCTTCCATCCATCCACGCAATACAAGTTTGTTATTAAACACGATAGTCAAACCATATTCATCTTTCCTTCTAGATAAACATGTTGTTGTACACTTTCAAATTTCATCGTTTTCAATTGCTGCCTGCTTTTTTTCATTCCTTTCTGGATGAGAAAGCTAGAATGATAGGAAAAGCACTAACGTTCAAAAATCATTGGATGGTTCATGTTGCATTTGTTAGACAAAAGTTTGCATGTCCTGTTTCAGCGTTTCCCCAATCCTTGCCCAAGATTCAAACGCTAACCATAACAAAAGCAAGCAGTAACTATGAAAAACCAGGTTACAAGCACAATTTTTACATAGTTTCATGAGTTCAAAAGAACAATAAGTGATCACATGAAAACAATACCCCATAAGCAAATGTTATAATCATAACCTATAAACAATTCCTTCTCTTTCTCTCGGCCAACAAAATTACAAAGAAAATAAGAAATCAAAATGAAAATTTAACTTTTAAATACATTATTTCTGCATAAGAAAGTTTACATTCAACTCTTTCAGAGCCAAACATTTAGCCAATACAAGCTTTTCTAACTAGTAGACGTGATAATTTTAAATACGATTCAGTGACAAGAGACAATATAAAAAAAATGACATAATTTAAAATTTTAGCAAAAGTCGTATATAAGTTTCGCAAAAACTAAAAAATTTGATTTGTTTTGTGTTTAGGATGTGGACAACATGATAATTTTTGTATTTTACATGTATTTAACACGAAATAGAAAAACACGGATAACGAATTGCCAAATCTACTTTAGAGCTAATTACTATTTTTCTTTAGCTATAGTCCAACAAGGCTTTTAAAATTGAGTCAGAAATTAAATATCAAAATTAATCAGTTTAGATTAGATTAATATTGTGATAATAACAACATATTACAGAGCTTAAAATTGAGTCAGAAATTAATGATCAGAATTAATCAATTTAGATTAGGGTAATTTTGTGATGATAACAACATATTACAGAGCTTAAAATTTTAAAATTCCAGCAATAAGCAAATACAAAAACATTAAAAAAAAAAAGAAAATTGAATGTTTGATTAATTTTTACCTTCCAACGCATTCTCTGAGAACTTCTTCAGTTTTCTCGCACTTTCGGACGAACTTTCCAGGCTCGACTTCTTCTGTCTTGCACTGCGAGCGCACCGCCTTCCTAATAGAGCATCGATCGCCGTCGCGAGCGGTTGATTCCACGACGTCGTTTGGTTCGTCTTTCCACACCCAACCCATTTTTTTCTCCTCTTTTTAGGGATTCTGTTCTACGTTTATTGATTGTTGTTTGTTTGGGCACTACGAAACTCTGTAACCGATAGCAATGTGGAGATACGCTACAGCAATCAAAGATTGAAACCTATATGCACTCAAAAGTCGAAACATACTTGGGTTTTTTGGGTAATGGGCCGGTTTGGGTCTTTTGGGTAATGGGTAGGTTTGGGCCATTTATGGGTCAAATGTAACCCTGTTTTGATGTCGTATGATATTATCCGGACTGCTGAAAAGCTCGAATGTTGGGCATATTTTGCATGCTCTCTTGCTTAAATAATAATTTAGATCTATATAACGCAATGTTACAAGATTAAAAGAGTTTAAAAAAATTTATGTGCATAATATCTTTGAAATTGCAAGTTTAAAGTCTTCAAGGTTGAAATTGCGAGTTTAAAGTCTTTCGAGATTGCGAGTTTAAAAGAATTTATGTAAGTAATATTTTCTTTAATCAAATAAGTATAAAACTAAGATAAAAATAGGATGATAAATTAGAAATTTTTTTTAAAAAAAGGCAAATTACTGCTTTCCAGCTGCCCTACGAACAATTCTATCAACTATGAGGCATGAGTAATACCTGTATACACACAATATGCCCAACCAGATATTGGAAAATAGAGTGAAACAAAGATGAATTAGAAAAGGAAGTCACATGGAATTTTCTACTGAAATTCAAAAAATTGAAAATGTTGTGCATCGATTAGGTCAATTGCAGCAGAACTAGCAGAAATATTTAACCATTTAGGTTCACTTTTAACTTTCTACCCCTCCCTGGAAAAAAAATTGAAAGAGTTTGAAGGAGGTGGCAGCAGCAGTTGGCACAACTGAGATCCATGATGCCTTATATATGCATATATTCGGCAAAGGTCAATTAGGAGCATCAATATTTCTGTATCTGATAATCTCAACTCCAAGGTAGTCAAGAGTGTCATGAACAGCAACATGAGGCTTCCCAACTTTCACACGAACAGCGGATATCTGAGGGTGCTTTTTCAAGGTTGTTGATGCAATTAATTGAGCCACTGACTCGAGAAGATTCTGAGATTGCCCTTCCACAACTTCTTTAACTATGCTGTAAGTTGGCAAATTCAAATTATCAAAAGACAATGTGTTAAAACATAAAGGCATAAGCATTCATATGAAGCCATGGAACTTTGTAACACGTTATAACTTGCCAAGTGATTTATGCAATGTTTTAAATATTTTCGATGAAGTTGTTAAGCTGTTACTTACCGGTAAATATCAGTGTAACTAACAGTATCTGACAAGAGATCTGATTTACCAGCCATCCTAAGATCCATCCATGCATCTACATCTACCAAGAACTTCTGACCCAGTTTTTTTTCTTCAGGCTTTACCCCATGGAAACCATGAAATTTCAAGCCCCTCAATATGAGTTTGTCTCCCGTTGGTATTCCAACATCTTCTCTCATTGCCCCTGTTTCATAACATTCCTATTAGCTATATGCTTCAGGGACTGAAAAATAAGAAGCTAACAAACATCAAACCATATTGGTTCATAAATTAGGCAATAGTTTCAGCCCCCCCCCCCCCCCCCCCCCCAAGGCAGCCAAATTTCATTGTTCGCCCTACACATGCTTCAAGAAATCTCTAGAATCTCATAATCAATATGCCACACAAAGGGAATAGAATTACATCATTACAAAGTAGCAAGCATACTCCTATGCAAGAAATAGTTGATCATGCATCTCCATATGCAATTAAAATACAACCAAGAATCCAACAACTCTCATTTCTCAACATGTCCTAATAGTTGACCATATCTTCCTCATAAATTAGGAAGGAAGGGAAAAGAAATGAAAAAGTCTCTTCCAACCTCATTGTCAGCTAGAGCTATAAAGTTCCTAGTAATCCAACAACAGGAATGGTTATGCATTCTTTTTTCCTCCCTAGAATTGTTCAAAAGATTGCTCCAAACCAATAGCGATAATAAATGCACTTCAACATTAGGATCTCCTAAAACCCAACCAACAAAACAATCCTCGTTCTAACTTACCCAAAAACAGAATCTTTATCAGGGAACTCTCTATATATAGCTCACCAGCAAGGCGTACATAAATTGGAGGTGAAATCTGATTCAAGCTACGCGGTTCCATCCGGTTGAGCACAGCAGGTGCAATTTAGTCACCCCTTCCTTCCCCTCATAGATATATTCCAAAGGAAGAGAATGTGGCTGTGGACTGATTAGCTAAAGACAACCTGAGCCAACATGAAAGACTATACCTATCGCATAGCCCACCAATAGGAATTGGCATTGATAGCAGTTTACTAGCTGATTCCTTATGAGTGCTAGTTCTTTTTCCAGCATTTAATCCTCCTTTGTTTACTACAACTTACTATAGCTAAATTTCCAGAGACCCAATACTAATTTACATGCAAATACCCAACATTTAACATCAAAAAAGATAAATTGCATCAAATAAAACAACAGCAAATCAGCAAATAGAAAGAATAAAGTAAAAAAGTTTTACCACAACTGGTTGCAGCCATTACAGCGTAACTGTTTTCCAGAAGGTGAAATTCCTGTCTGCAGAAAGAAGAACGAAAATTTAGTTGAGGGAAACTGAAAACAAAAGGAGAAATTCTGAGCCACAAAACAGAGAGAGATGCACAACAGAAACTAGATCACTGATTTTTCCTTTTCTTTTTCAGTTTTTGTTGGGTCTGGACCATCTGGCAGGCCAATTATGGCTTTTTGTAGACTAGGCTGAACTTTTAGGCCTGTTCTTATTTTTTCTTTGTTTGTAGTTTGTGTGGCAATGATTTTCACATTTTGCTTTTCTAAAACCCAAACAACCCTTATCTAGTAATCTTGTGGTAAAAATGTTTAATCTTACTTGGACCCAAGAACAACAATTGACCATTTAAATGGGCTTTAAGGCCCAACTCACATTACAAAATTTATCACATATTTCTCTCTATCTAGAACCTAGTGAGGAAAAAAATGAGCTTAAGCATAACCTAACAACGGCTTCATGCATAGGATGGTAGGTATTGAAATTTTATTTTAAAATTTTATTAAATATTAATTTTCAAAAGTAATTATGTTAATCGATTGGATTAGATTTTAAATTTTAATTAATATAATTTTATAAATATTAAACTTTAAATCTTAGTTCTTTATTCTAGAAATAACTGTTTAAATTACGTTTATGATTTTTTTTTCCTTTCCTCTCACTTTCCTATCAATATGTACAATCTAATTTTAATTGTGGAATATCTAGAAAGTAAAAAAAGATTTCTTAAGGAATGAAATCTACATGAAAAAAAAAAAAAATTGGTTAGTCTACGCCCTGAGGCCTCAACTGCTAATAAAGATTGACAATTTGTGTGTGATGACCATGTCATTTAATACAATATTCAAGAATTGGTTACTCTGAAAATTTTGATTCCTCATAATAATAATGCCACCAGACTTTAAAGCTTTGCTAAAGTGATGCTGACTCAAACCACGTTTGAATTGGCAATAATTTTTCCAAGTTTTTGACTTCTTTCCTTTTTGACTCAGTTATAATATATTCTCAGGTTGTTTCTTTGAAATCAATAAAACTGCATCATTATATATTTTTTTAATACAAAAAGTGTTAATTTGAAGATAAAAAAATGTATAAATATTGATGTTTGAATTTTAAATTTATTATTTTTAATTTTATGATCATTTCCATCGAAAATGCACATTTATATATGTTTTTTATTTCTAAAAGAATTTGAATCTTATTTTTTGAACAAGAGATCAAAATCAAATCCTTATGTGTCACACTTATGTATATATGTTTTAAAATTAAACTCTGTTCTAAAAATTGAATAAACGTGTTATCTAATTGATTTCCGTCGACCTGGTAGGGCAACGAGTAGGGGTGAGCAAAAGTCGATTTAAATCAACTAGACCGATCAAAATCAAGTGAATTCGGTTTATTCGATTTTAATTATAATCGATTTTTTAAATTGGTTAAATTGATTAATTCGATCGGTTTTTTATTTTTAAAATTGATAACCGTACTGATCGAATTAACTGACTTTTTAATAATTAAAAATAAAAAATTTGAGATAAATATTTTTATTTATTTTTTTTGGTAAAATATTGTTGAAATTATTAAATTCTTTAGTAATTTAGTTTGAATGATACTAGAGTTTGAATTTTATTGAATTGAATTTATGGTTAAATAATTATTCATAATAAGAAAAAAAATGATAAAAAAAATTGGTTATTTAACCGAACCGAACCGATTTTGGTCGGTTTGGTTATGGTCGGTTATTTAATAATATTTGGTCGATTCGGTTATTTGTTAAATGAAAGTCGGTTAAGTCGGTTATTAATTTTTTTAAACCGAACCGACCGAATTGACCATTTACTCACCAATAGCAACGAAGGATCATAGCATGTTTCATGCTTTTGTTCATTTCTGTCAAGGTTCTGTCGTTTTTTTTTTTTTCAATTCAAAAAAATTGCTTTTCATGAGCAATGAAAGTAAAATTTTTCAGTGGATTGAAGAAACCAACTGGAAAAACTCTCACTTTGTTCGCCTACGATCTTGATTTGATCAAACTTGTAGTACTCTTTGTTTCAAATAACCCGAATGTTCAAAAGTGACAAAAAATCATCAACAATAATCAGTTAGACATGTAAATCTAATAATTTATACAATCATATTTGTCGTAACGGTTTTGAGATCGTTAGACGTAAAAAATTTTAAAATAAAAAAAAGGAAAAAAAAATCGACACCAATATTTTTTAGGGTGTGATTGGACACTCAAAAGTTTATCTTTTTAATAAAACTATAAAAGCGGGTTTAAAATTTATCAAAAAAATAAATTTTGGTCTACGAAAATCAGGTTAAGTTTAGGAGTCGGTTACGTGTGGGAAAAGATTAACACTCCCACAACGCCCATAAATTGGTACCATTTAATTACGTATTGTTTTTGGTATTAGATAAAAATGGTTTCAATTTGAAATTTAACACTAATTTCCTTCACTTTAAAAAAAATAAATTTTGGTTAAATTTTTTTTTTTATAAATATTGAAGAAATCTTTAAGTTAAAGAATTATTTTAAAATTCTCCAACATCTAGATATAATTTAAAATAACTTTTCTTGCTTAAAATTAAACAAAATACTCCTTAAAATAAAAACAACACTCTTTGTGAAAGATAATTGTTGATGACTCTCTAACATCTAGGTAGAGTACCAATAATTATTTCTTTTAGAATGTTTATTTTATTTTATTTTATAATATCATAATTTTAAAAGTAAGTAAATTAAAAAATATATTTTTGTGTGAAAAAGTAAATGATGGTATTATCAGATAGCAAGTAACAATTAAAGAAAAAAAAATGCAAACAAGTGCAAAAAATAACAAATAAATGTATGTAAATCAATAAATACTGTGTATGATAATGAACTACAAATTTGAAATTGGATTCTTAAATATAATGAGACCACCTTGACTCCCCATTATCTAGGTGGAGCTTTAGTGTGACTATTTATATTTAAAATCTCATTTTATTATTAAACAATTATTAACCCCATTATTAAAAAAAATTAAAGACTTATGAGAAAAACTTAATGTAATAAGATTTCTTTAAATTTCTCATCATCTAGGCGATATTTGAGAACAAATTACTCTACTTAAGATTTTCGCACGTATCCTCAAAATTTCAAAAAGGTTTTGAGTATAGGTTTAGGTTGAGGTTTTAAGATTTGGTGAGTTTTAGGCAATGATTCGGGATTTCGTACCAAATTTAGGGTTTTCAGAATTTTAAATTTTAAGGTTTGGATTTTAGGATTTTGGATTTTGGATTTTAGGGTTTGAGATTTGAAGTTTTGGTTTTAGGGTTTAAAGGATTTAAGGTTTAATTTAGGATTTAAAGAAAATGCGAACATCTCTAAAAATCTCCAACATCTAGATGGATTTTCGAAACAAGTTTGATTTTTATGATTTTTAAAAATTTATTAAAAATCTTCATATATTTCCCTTTTTATGAAAACTTATTTTTAACAATAACATTAATTTTATTATTAGTATTATAATTATTATTAATTTTAATTTTTTTATACCTTTATTAATTTTCTTTTAATAATTTCCAAACATCTAGGAGAAATTATTTTTAGAAGTGTGTTTTTATTCCCTCCAACATTTAGGCAGAAAAATAAAAATAATAAAAAAATTAATTTTTATTACTATTTTTTAGATTATTATTATTTTTAAGCATTTTTAATATATATTTACTTGTTTTCATTTTTGTTATTATTAAAATAATTAAATATTTATTCTAACAAATTTTAAAATTTATCATACATAAATATATAAAAAAAAACTCAAAATAACCAAAATAATAATATATAAAAAATTAGAAAATTCAAAAAAAATTTTTTGAACCGGACGGATCAACGGGGGTTTAGCAGGGCCGAAAACAGGGGCGACTCAGTAAGCGATTCGATTGAACCGGTTGAGTGACGATTTAGCACACAGTTCAGTTGAATCGGTTCAAGGCTAGTTGAGTGTGTTGGCGGGTCAATTTGTGAGGATCTTGGGTCCGGTAACAGGCATGCGCGGATCCTACTATGTTCAAAACGACATCGTTTTGGGCTTTAGTCTTTTATATATAACTAAAATTTTTTTTGGTTCATTCTTCTTTTGTTTCAAAAAAAAAAAGGGTTAGAGCTTCGGGGAGAGCTTTAGATCTCCTGTCGTCCAGTCGTCGGGACCGTCGCTTGGGTCACCATCGACGATGGTCATCAGTGATCACTGGTGATCGAAAGTTTCAAAACTGACCGGAAGGTTCCTTTTGACCTATTAAGTTTAGATCTATCATCTTTTTCATGAGAAGTAGCCCTAATCGTCGTAAATCTGGGCTTAAAGTTTTTTGTGTTTTTTTTCCTCTTTTTTTTATGTTTGGAAATTAATTGATGCCTTTTTCTTTGGTGCATGTGGCTTGGTACTAGGTTCCTCCCTACGGGGAGGACTATGTTTTTATTTGTATCTTTTGTTTGTTTTTTTTTTTTTTGTTATTATTTTGGGTGTGGAATAGTTTGAGGTTTCTAGGGTGGCAAGGAGCAGTGTTTGGGTTTTTTGGGTGTGGGAGATTTCACGTTTTTTAGATTTGAGGGGTTTTTTAGAGAGAGTAGAAGAAGATGGAGCTAGGTTCTTTATAGAGTCTAATCTGTGTTGGTATGGGTGTCTTAAGGGCTGTAGGGGATGGCTGTCGGAACAACCATAAAGGTGGCTATATGGTCTAGTGGCTATCCATTCTGGTCACATGGGTTAATGGTTTGATGGGACTAGGTAAGGTGGCTGGATCAGATGGATTCAGAAAGAGGGCTGGACAGGGGCAACAGTGGCATCGTACCAGCCTTTTATTTTTTATCTTTTTTTATAATGATTATTATAATATTTTTAATTTTTAATTTTTAATTAAACCGATATTATTATTAAAATTATTACTATTAATATTAAACTAGAACTGAAGAGAGTAGACCCAGATAAAATCAGTGTCTATAACTGTCATTCTTTGCACATTACTGAGAATCAGGAATAGATAAAAACAAAGACAACAATTTTGTCCAAAAGCAAATCATGGATTTTTCAAAATTTTTTTTTTAACCACAGGTTAGGTGATAAAGAAAATGATCGAGACGACATAGCGAGTTGAAATATAAAGAATCAATTAAGGCAACACCATAAGTCGAATAATAAAAAAAATAACCAAGATAACACTGCGAGTCAAGGAATAACAAGATTTGGATTGAACTTGGATTGCATCACAAGTCAAAAAATAAAGAGACTGAAACTAAACCACGAGTCAGAGAAT